CTGAGCTAGCCTGGGCAAAAAGCAAGACCTTATCTCCAAAATAACCAGAACAAAAGGGGCTGGGGGTATGGCTCAAACAGTAAAATGCTTGTCTAGCAAGTGAGAAACCCCGAGTTCAAGTCCCAGTACTGCCAAAAAAAAAAAAAACAGTTTTTATTTGCTGTTTAATCTTTGAAATGAAGAAAAATGGTAACTTATTAGCGTGAACTTTACCATCCATCTTTATTCAATGCCAGTTTTAAAAGCAAAATTAAGAGCCTTTAATTTGAGCTGGGTGTGGTGGTACATACCTATAATCTCAGCACTCAGGTGACTGAGGCAGGAAGATCTTGAATCCAAGGCCAGCCTGGACTACACCAGCAGACCCTGTCTCAAAGAACAGCAACAGGGCTGGGACCATGGCTCAAAGTAGTAAAGCACTTGCTTGGCAGGCCAGCAGATATGAGGCTCTGAATTCAAACCTGAGTACCACGAGAAACAACAGCAACAAAAGAGCATTTATTCATCTGTGTGAGCTGTAAAGTTGCCCAATTCATATTGCACAGCTCCTGTGCCTTGACTGTTTCATTTTACTTGTTGGTAATCACCCACTGACACACTCTGTTGCAGCTTACTAATGGGTCAGGAAGGACAAAAAGAAAAGGACCAATGGGTGCCTGACTTTCTCTTTCCTTCTGGTCATCAAGTGTAATGTAAGTGGTTGCCTCGCTCAAGGAAGTACAAGAGGATGTGTTACAGGTCCTCCATCCTTTGTGTTACTTAGATCACTTTTGCCTTCCTGCTGCCTGGAGCAAGTTCTGGTTCAAGGGAAGCAGGGCGGCATCGCAGCTGTCAGCACCCACACTCAGCTGTAGTCTTGGAGCACAGTTGCCTTGGAGCAGTTGCAGCACTGGATCCCACGCAGTAGGAGCCACCAGAGGTCTGTGCTCACAGAGCCTGGAAAAGACTGAATTGGAGTGAGAAGGCATAGGATTCACATTTCCTGTGTTCACATACACACCCTACTGCTCACTGGACTTCACTCACAAAGCACACTTCAATGATAAAATTATTAAGAGATTTTTGAGATAGGGTCTCAGGAACTATTTGCCCTCAAACGGACATCCTCCTGATTTCTGCCTCCGAATAGCTAGGATTATAGGCATGAGCTGTCTGCATCTGGCTGGTTTGTTTTTGTTTTTGTTTTTGTTTTTTGAGGTAGGATCTCATCCTACAGCCTAGGCTGGCCTGGAACTCATTATGAGCCTCAAACTCAAGATCCTCCTGCCTCAGCTTCCCAAGTGCCGGGATTTACAGGCTTGTTCTACCAGATACTCATCTGGTAGAAGATGGCCACCAGAGGTTTCAGTCCACTCGGGCACCAGTAGGCACCAGGTTGGCTACTACCTTATTGGTAGAGTAAGAATATTTCCCCAATGTTCTAATAAAAATCTAACTCAATAGCTCTGATTGGCTGACTTCTGGACACATGCTCCACCTGAGACAATCAACGTCTGTGGCCAGGGAACTGTAGAACCCCCATTGGCTAGACAGTCATTCAACTACCTCTGGATGTAGGAAATGGGATTGGCTCTATAGGAATCACAGTGAATGGGAAAGAGAAGGAAAGATTCCTCAAATGGAAACCAAGAAATGCGGATGGATGCTGGCTGTGGGGTCTATTTCCTGAACCTTGGGTGTGGGCTTATTAATCGCTCCACATATAGCTAAGACCACTTACCTATTCACCAACTCTTTTTCTGCTTCTTCTTTTTGGGGGGAGCAGGGGCAGAACTCAGGGCCTTGTGCTTGCTAGGCAAGTGTGCTACCACTTGAGCCACTCCACCAGTCCTTTTTAATTTTTTTTTTCTGAGCATATCTAGACTACACTTCCGAGCTTCCCTTGCAGCTAGGTCGAGGCTATGTGACTAAATTCCAACTAATGGCATATGAGAAAAAATGATGTCATCACCTCTAGGACTGGCTCATAAAAACCTCTGATTGTCCCCACCGTGCTCTCTCTCCTTCCCCTGGCTTGATGCAGTCTGTGTGGTGACCTTTCAACCACCCTGAAGATGGCAGAACCACAAAGGGAAGGGGTCTGCATTTCAGTATCCCCATCCCAACAAGCAGCCCATGAGTTTCAGCCCCTACAAAATTCTGTAAGTTTATTATAGCCCTTAAGTAGTTTGGGGTGACTTTGTTATGGCAGGTAGCTTATCCTAAATAGTATGAGCAAAGTAAGGCTTAGAGGGTAAAGTGTCTTGCCCAAGGTCACACAGCCTGTAAGAGGCAGAGCTCAGATTCAAAGGTGGACCTAGTTATGGCTCTCTGGCTCCAAAAACCCAAACATGACAAAACACAACATAAAATCCCAGAAACTTGCTCAAATATAGGGCTATGTGCCTGACCCGCTAACCAACTCTGGTCCAAATGCCAATACCTCCAGGTACTATCTCTGGCCCAAGGCTTGAACCCTCAGGAGAGTCTGCTAGTGTCAGTTCAACTGCCTGTGGCTGTGCTACTCTGCGCTTACTCCTGCCTCCCAGGAGCCCCTCTTCAGCCCCAAACTCAGGACTGTCCTTTGACACCTCTACCTGGAGTCCCCAAGGCCTCCAACACCCTACTTGGTCTCCAATGCACTCCAGACTCTCCACCCTCAGACCAAACCCGTGCCCCCATCCAGAAGCTGAAGCCAGAAACTCAGGGTGGACTGTGGCTCCTCACTTTCCCCCCACCTGACTCTGACCCATTAGCAAGTTCTGCCCTGCTAATGGCAGCTCTAGTCTTGCTTTGGTCCAGCCTCTTTATCTTCTTCAGCAGGACTGCAGGCCCCTTTCAGCCTCAGCAATCCCTGTCAGTCCCTTCCCTATACAGGTTCCACCAAGGCTTTTCTAGAAGTCATTTCTCCATTGATTAAAAAGCCTCATTAAAAGATCCATGGCCATCAAGGTTCTCTGGGAAGGCCTGCTTCTGAGATCTACCCTCTGATCCTGGAGCTCCTGCTCCCTAGGATCCAGCCATACTGGGGGCTGGATTGCTGTCCTTGACACCTGGCTGAGGTTTCCCACCTTCCTCTGAGTTGCTGTTGACTGCCTACAGATTTTCTTTTCCGTGTGTCCACATCCTACTGGGGAAGATCTCCCTTTCCTCCAAGCTCCAGCCAGAGAGGTGGTTTGTTTTACCACCATCTGTCCTGTAGGAGACAGGAAGAGCTGGGTCTGAGTGCCAGGCCTGGAGCTCTGGAGCTGGGAAGAGCGGAGGATAGACCTGCCCTTTCTTTCAGCAGCCTGCCTGTAACCATGTCATCTTGATCACAAGCTATTGGTCCAGGTACACAGGGCATAACTGGGGGCACACAAGCAACTGGTCAGATGCAGGAGTGTGAAATGGCTGTGTGTGATTCAAGTGAGAGTTTGGAGGGATGCCCAGAAGTTGTGATGGGGGTAGCCAAGTAGGTGGGCATACTGACAGGTGTATCTGCCTGCAGGTAGGAGTCACAGTTGCTGGCAACCGTTTGCTCTACCACTGGTGGTGTGGAGGTAGGGTGGGGTGGGCAGGAGAGAGGAAGCAGGCTAGGCTGCCAGAGCAAACAATCTGGCCCTACCTTCTAGCAAATGACAACTCTACCCCACAGGGTGGGGTAGAGTGGCAGAGGCTTGGGGTGAAGGTCTTCTAGGACTGGCAGAGGAATCAGACCCCAGATGTGTGTGTTTGGGAGGGAGTAGGGTTATCCCAGCTGCTTGAAAGCCTGTGGTTCCATATCTCTGGGGAGTTCTCTAGTGGGGAGCTGTTGGGCTCTGTCCCTAGCCTAGTCTTGACTAACATTTTTCCTAGCAACTTAAGGGTGCAGGGGACTGTCTGTGTGTGCTGTATTGGTGGGAGAAAAAGGGACAGATAGTGGGAATATTGGACTTCAGATCTAAAATGTCAGGTTGCAAAGAGACACAGCCAGAAAACCAGCACCCTGTGTACTGCAGTTGGCTGAGTCCCAGCTGAGGCCAGGGAGTGTCTGCTGACCCTTGGAAAGCTGTTAGGTTGACCAGTCAGTCCTCTCCATGCTCAGGAAACATAGAAGGGGAAAACAGAGAAGGAACTCAATCCTGCTCTCGGAGAGCTGGGGGACACACGGTCAGGCATCTGGAAGCTGAGGCCTGCAGCCCATGTTGGAGGGACAGCTGCTGCATGGCAGAGGCCAGCTTGGTTGGAGGCGGCTGGGTGGTGTGGAGCTGGCTGGGTCTACCAGGGGAGGAGGCGATCAGATCAGATTGTGCTCAGCTACCCCTTTCGGTGGGGTTAAGCGTTTTCTGCCTTTCTACATCCTCCTCCTTTGACCTGCACCCCTTCGGGGTACCCCTTGCCTGTGCTGGGGTGAGGCTCCTCCGTCCCGGCCCTTCCCTTCCCTCAGCCAGAGTCACTTCTCGGGGACCCTGGGCAGAGACCTCCCCCCCACACACACCACGCCCCCTCAGGCTCTCTCGGGAGCCCCATCCCCGCCCGGCAACTCCGTCTGCTGCAGCAGGGCGGCGGGGCTTGCAGGTAACAGCGTGGTTTTTTTCAGCTTCTTTTCCGCTGGCTCACTGTTAGAGGTTCTGCGCCAGTACCGCGCTAGGAAAGCACCAGGTGGAGAGGACCCGCTTATTCGTGGGCTTTCGGTTCCCTCTAGATCCAGGCTCAAGTTGCGCAAATTGGAGCTGGGAAGTAGGACGCCCCTCTACGGACAGCTCCATTTTGCAAACCCCCTTCGGTCCCCGGAGGACCGAAAGCAGGCGACGTGGCGGCTCCAGGACCCGCGAGGCGCAGCCCCTCCTGCCCTGTTGACATGGATCGAAGCCCCCAGCCACGCTCCCTCGGCTGAGGCGGCCGGGCGCGCGGCCCGCGGGCGGCCTCAGTGCGCTGTGCTGTAGAATGGGAGGGTGGCGGGGCGGGGCCCGAGGCTCGAGGGCGGCCGGAAGAGGTGTACTGCGGGAGCGGGAGCGGGGGCGGGCCGCAGGCCGCCCCGCCCCGGGAGGGGGGGAGCCGAGGGCGCAGCATCCTGGCGCGGGCAGCGGCTACCGCCACCACTGCCGTCGGGGAAGGTCCTATCGCGGACATGGTCTCGCGCTGCGCCCGCCCGGGCCCTTACCCCTCGCGCCCCGCTCAGTAGCCCCGCGGGAGGCGGCCTGGACGGTGCAGACTGGCGGGCGGGCGGCATGGAGGAGGCGCACCTGCTCCCGGCCGCCGACGTTTTGCGCCGCTTCTCGGTGACTGCCGAGGATGGCCTGAGCCCCGCGCAGGTGACCGGCGCGCGGGAGCGCTACGGCCCCAACGGTGAGCGCGCGGCCCAGGGAACGGGGGGCCACGCGCGCCGCCCTCCCTGACCCCCCCCACCCCACGGCGGCCGAGCGGCCGCTTCCCCCATCCTCGGGCCCCCGCGGGCGGGCAGGAAGCGAGGGCTCCGGAAGCCTCCGCAGATGCTCTGGGGGCGCGGCGGGGCTGCGCGGCCACCATCGCGGGTGGGAAGCGGGTTCCGGCTCGGGAGGCCGACGCCTGCCATCCCCTTCCCTGCTTTGCCCCCAGCTACCTCTGCACACCGTAGCCCACGGCATGCGTGGTCTGCGTGGGAACCCAGGTGCACACGCTGACACCTGTCAGGACCGGCCAGAGCTACTCTGAGGCCCAGCCAACTAGTTGGTCCCGGGAGGGCTCCTAAGAGGGCTCAGTAAGACGCCCCACAAGGTGCAGCTTGTTAGCCGGCGGCCTGGATCCCCCACCCGCACCTCCACCCCCACCCCACCCCACCCCACCCCACCCCAGGTCTTCCTCTTTCTGCTCCCTGTAGCGGATGTGGTTGGCGGGAGTCATGGGGGCTTTGAACTGCTCAAGTAGTAGACCCTCCTTCCCCAGTGAGACTCCAGGTCCCTGACTGGTGACCTGGAGTGGCAACAAAGAGGGAACCTTCCGTGCACCTCCTTCAAAGGAGTGGGGGATTCTCCTTCCTGTCAGCCACCGCACATTTGGAGGCTCCCCGGGGTGGAAGGTGCAGCAGCTCCTTGTCCATGCCCCTTCTGGACAGGACCTGTCGCCCCCGCCCCCGCCCGCCCCCCGCCCCCGGCTCTGACAGCACCTGTCGGCGCGGGAGGGCACGGGAGGGATCCCGAGGGAAAACATCCCCCCCACCCCCAAGTGCAGTGGGCTTGTGGCCTTTGGGAGTTGGGGGCCTCATGCTTTCTGGTTTCCCAGCCACCAGAGGGGAACATGCTCTGGCCTGGGTGTCTCTCTGCTCAGAGCTGACTGGGAAATTACGAAGAGCTGTCAGGAAGGGTGCTTTGGGGTTTGTATTGGTTTATGAAAACCACCTCTTATATAAATATTATCTTTCTGGAGCAGAAATCCTTTTTTTAAAAAATTAGTTGCTATATTTAGCTGAGCTGTGGGAGGAACTAGGGAGATAAATATTATTTAATATCCCCCATTAATGACTTGGCAGGGAGGTGTCCTTAGCTGCAGGAGAACAGGATGGGCTGGGGGTTAGACAGGCAGGTCTGGGGTCCCATAGCCACCCTGCTGTTGCTTTCAGCTGGGATTCCCACGGGATGCTAGAGACCCAGCCCTTGGTTCTGTCTTTAGAATCACAGATTCTGCTACTGTGTGACCCTGGCCAAGTCCCTGTCCTTTCTGGCTCTCCTGTCTCCATTGACCCAGCAGAGGAGTGGCCGGCTGGGAGAGAGGCAGCCCCTAGTCCCTCGGGCTCTGAACATCTGTGTGGAGGGGTGGTTAAGGATGGTGGCTTGGCATGGTGTGTAGGTCTGTTGATGGGTAGATGTGTGTTGGCCTGGTCAGGAAGTTGTGGGGGCATTGCTGGATGCTCCAGTTCCTCTGCTTTGATGGTATTAATAATAAAAGCTCGTGTTCCGTGAGCACCTACTATGTGTCTGGCAGACACTATTCTCAGCTCTTTCCATCTGTTATCTCATTTCTTTACCCAAAGAACTCAGCTATGGACTGTCACCATCCCCGTCTTACAGAGGTTAACTGAGGTGTCAGAGGTTAAACAAGGCTACACCTCTCTGGGCCTCAGTTTCCCCATCTGTACAAGAGGTTCACAAGTTCTTCAGGGGCCTGTGGCCTCACTTTCCTCTGCCCCAGGGCGCTCTTCCCTCGCATCCCGGTGGTACTATGCTAGCACAGCCTCCAGAATGAGGCTGATGGCGTTCAGCACTCTAGCTCTGCCCCTTCGTAGCTGTGTGACTCTGGAAAAGCCAGTTGGTCTCTCTGAGCCTTGGTGTCATGGTTGTAAGTGAGGCTACAATAGAAGCCATGTCTTAGGGTTGCTTGTGCCTGTTTAGTGAAATTGCTTATACCAAGTCACCCTCATGACAGAGGAGGCAGGCTGGACTCCACACCAGAAGGTGGGGATAGGGAAAGGTATGACTGTGGGTGAAGGGGACACCCCAGGGACTAGTTAGTGTTCCTCCCCCCCCACCCCAGGCGCCTGTGCACCTGCTGTGTCCTTAGCACAGTGCAAACCACAAGGAAGTCATTTGCTTAAGTCCTCAAGTTTGCAAATTCTGCCTGGGGCGGGAGGAATGGAGGTGGGGCTGGAGATCTCACCCCTGCCAGAACCTCAGAGCTGGGGCCAGCTAGGAGTCCCCTGTGCATAGCAAACACCTCCTACCTACTCTTGCAGTAGAGATGGGTCCTCTGCAGCTCCTGCTGGTGCTGAAGGCTTGGGACTTTTAAATTTATTTGTTTGTTTATTTATTTATTATGAGACAGGGTCTTGCAGTGTAGCCCAGACTGGCCTCAAACTTATAATCCCCATGCCTCAGCCTCCCAAGTGCTGGGATTACAGGCATACACCATGATACCCCACAGTATAACCTTCCAAGGGTACAAATGGTGTACAGTAAAGTCTTCTGAACCATTCTGGTATCCCCAGCTCCTGTGTCTCCTCCTGAGATAGTCCGCACATATTACACCCCAGGTCTAGGCTCTGGGGTCTTGTTTCTAGGAAAGGGAGTAGGTTACACAGGCTGCTTTGAGACAGTTCATGGGGAGTCTTCTTGGCTTTCTCATGGTTGCATGGGGTTTTGTTGTGAGCCTGATGCAGTATTTCTTCATCCCATTTCTGATGGTCACGTGGGTGACAGCATCTGTTGTCACTGCATTACAAGGAATATCCCTGTCCCCATATCGAATCACACACTTGTGAGTAGTACTGCACCGTAAATTCCTGGAAGTGGCACTGCTGGATCAGAACGGGAGGGTATTGCAAACTCACAGTCCAAAACGTTGACCAGTTGACCTGCGCACTCTCCGCAGCCTGGTCAACAGTGGGAGGCCAGCTCTTTGATCCATGCCAGTTAGATGGAAGGAGGAGTGTCTTCTCACAGTTCTCCTTTGAACTTTTTTGGTTTGCACGCCATCTTCATATGTTCAGGAGCCATCGGATTCCGTGTGTCCATAAACAGGTGTCTCTTCCCCTTTGCTGGACATGGGCCAGGGCCAGAAGCCAGGCTGGGTTGGGCACATCCTGCCACACAGCGATTTGGGTCAGGCAAGATGCCAGGAGGGCCCTGGGTGGTCTCTATTCAGGTGAGCTTGTGGAGGGATGATGCAGCCTGGGATATCAGCTTTCTGGGCCTCACGGTCCCTGTCTGTGTAATGGGTGTCATGGCCTCAGGGTTGCCCCGGAGTGGGAGGGGCTGCCTGAGTTTGGATTCCTGCCAGCACTGTCTTGCTGTGGCCCTGTTTCCTGCCCTCAGCCCAGGCTCCATTTGCCCAGGACTTGGGAAACCCAAAAGGATGACCCTGGAAACCAAGCCATGGAGGAGTGGAGTGAGGAGGGGTGATTGGAGTGGGCTCACTTTACTAGGTGACCTCAGTGTCCTCGGTATAGCAGAGATGGGACCAGAGATCCCTTAAGGTCTTATAGGGCCTGAAACTGACTCCTGGGGGACTTGGACGTTGCCTCACAGTCTTTCAAGCTTCACCCTAGTTGCCATACCTCCCTGATCTTGCTAGGCAGCCTTAGCCCCCTCAGGAATAGCGTCATCTGGACCCTTTACCCCCAGACACCCTGAGGCAGGGTGGCAAGACACAGCAAACCCTTCTCCCCTAAGCACCTGCTAAGCCAGGTAGGCTGGTCTGGTGGCCCCTCTGCAGAGCAGGAGCCTTTTCTGTAGGTCCTTCAGTGGGTCCCCCAAGGAGGGCACAGGGCCAGGCTATATACTCTAGGTAAACCTTGGAGACAAGGCAGGGCCAGGTGGGCTGGGCAGCCTCTGCAGGGCAGGGCCTTTCCTTACCTCTGAAAGTGATGATTTAATTGCTCTGTAAATTTACCTTGGAGGAAGACCTTGGTGAGTGCCTGCCTCTCCCAGCTGGAACTGACATTTAAAAGCCGAAATTCCAGTTTCCAATGTTGTGAGAAGGAAAAAGTCCAAGAAAGATTAGGGGAGCAGGTGGTGCCTGAGACTGGGGGCAGCCCAGGGGCATCCCTGGCCTGTATCACCCTTCCCTCTGACTCTGGTCTGTGGGCTCAGGGCCTGGCCTGAACCTGGAGCAACTGAACAAACAATGGCTGGGGAGGAACAGTGCAGCCCCAGGGATGACTCAGTCCTGCCGGCCCTGCCCGGTCTCCAGCCTGGGGGGGGAGGTCCCAGTCCTGGTGAATGGTCAGAGAAGGGCAAGGTGAGCGATGGGGAAGCAAGGCTTGCTGGAAGTACAGGTTTTGATGAGAGAGGGAAGGGGACCCAGGACAGAAGGAGTGACAAAAGCAAAATACTGATGGCAGAAGAGCATTCACATCTCTGGAGTCCTCTTGCTTGGCTGCAGAGGGACTGCAAGGGCAGGTTGGACAGATCCAGGAAGGCTTGGAAGTCTGCTGGGTGTTCTGTAGATCAAGGACAGCCACCAAAGGTCATGAGCAGAGGGCCACTCATTCCTTGTAAGGTTTTTCTGAGCACCTACTTCAGGCCAGGTGCTGGAAGACACGGCACTGAGCAGTCCTGCCCTGTGGAGCCTGTGGTCTGATGACTGCCATTGCTCTGTTCTCCGTGGCCGGGCTTCCCAGGTGCCTTATGCATGTCATTTTAGTGTTCACACCAACCTCACGGAAGTGTTACTATTTTACCCCCTTTGTGCAGATGGGGAAACAGACACAGTTGGATGGCTCATCAGTGGCCATGGCACTAACAAGAGATAGAAAAGGATTTGAACTCAAGCCCTCTGGACCAGATAACTTGCTCTAAGCTGTGAAGTTTCTCTGAACACCGCCATTCACCTGGGGTTCACAGGCCAAATTCCAGATTCTCAGGCCACCCCAGAGTAGGCATTGCAGGCACAGCCTGTTCAGTGTGGCAGTAGTGCCCAGGGGTGGGCTGGGAGAAGCCTGCATGTGAGATGTCCAGGCAAGAATAGCTGAGGTTGTGTATTTCAGGGCAGCCCAGCGGGGGACCCAGGAGGATCAGTGCCCCAGTAACTGCGTTTGCCCATATGGCCCAGCAGACAGCACCAAGGTGGGCAGGCTCAGCATTCTCACTTAACAAATGGGTCATGGCATGGCTGAGCTTCTAAGACCATCATTTTCAAAGGGAACTGGCCCAGCCCCCCAGTTTGCAGCTGGGGAATAGCAGAGAACCAGCATCTTCTAGGGATAACCTGCAGGGCTCCCCCAGCTGGGCTGTCTCCTTAGCTGTGGAACTCATACATGTGTGAGGGCAGAGTTTAAGTCCTTTGGGGTCTTGGTAGATCTACATTTGAAGCAGGCAGAGCCTAATAGCCCCCAAACACTTTTGGAGACCAGGTAATTTTGGTGGGCAGTTTCTGGGGCCACTACAGAGGGGTGGACTGATGGGATGAGACATCCAGACTAACAGGACATGGGACACCAGGTTTTTTCAGGTGACCTTGGCTCAGTGATAAAGGGACCAGAGAAGAGCAGGCAGGGCAGTCTAGGAGTGAGACTGTCTCAAAAACAAAGTAAGCTGGTGGTGTGGCTCAAGTGGTACAAGGTCCGAGTTCAACCCACATTACTGCCCAAAAAAAAGAAAGAAAACCAAAACACAAAACCCCAAGAAGAAAAAAACCCTGGATGCCTAAGAGAACAGAGGCTCACACATCTCACTGCGCTGGGTGCCAGTTAGTGAGGCCATCTGGAGTTCTGCATTCCTTGCTCATAGGCTGCTGCCCCATGGCAGCCCCAGACCTGCACAGTCCACTGTGGCAGCCACCGAGCTCCTGTGGCTGCTTAAGTTGAAATGAATGAAGTAAGCAAAATTAGACATGTGACTCCTTAGTTGCACTAACCACAATCCAAGTGTTCACCGGCCACACCTGGCTGGTAGCTGCTCGCTTCCATGTCACAGAAGGTGACAGACCTTCTAAAGAGACTTGTACCCAATCCAGTACTCTAGCTGGGAGCTGACTTCCCCTTCTTTTAGAAACTCATGAGCCAAGAAGTACAAAGTTATTGTCACCACAAGGTGGGGGAACCACTTAATGGCCTTCAAGGAGTGGGGTCCTGTGTCACTGTGGGTTGGGAAGCAAGAGGGGAACCAGGTGGGCAGGTAGAAAAGAACTGGAGAGATCCCTGGGGGCAGGGGTAGGCAGAAGAGGCATGAAAGATGCCTCCTCACCCCATGTCCTGCCCTGCCCAGAATGAATCTCCCAAGGAGCATGGCTGCCTAGGGAATTCACACCTCACAGTAGAGGGGCCAGGGAAACAGGAGGGATTCCAGTGAGACTGATGGATGAACTCTCCCCTAGATTAGGAGCCTTGAAAAAGTGAGGGATGGGGACTTTCCTGGGTAGAGCACTGCAGAAACCTGCTAATGTGTGCTGTGAGGTGGCACTGCTCTCTCTCGAGGCTGGGGCATGGTCAAGAGGATCTGTAAAGGCCCCTGTCCATTGGAGAAATTGGCCCAGAAACTGGGCCTGCCCCCCCCCCACCTTTCCTGTTCACTTCAGTTAAATAGATCAGAAGGAAAAAGTCTGTTTGATTTTAATCTCAACGCAGGACACTGGAGATTACATTTTCCACGGAAAATGTCAGCCGTTGCCTAAAATAGGACTTTAGAGAAAATGCTAGAAAGTGTATTTTTAGGTTATGTTTCCCTCCTGGAGCCCTGCAGCCCAGTGGGCTTTTTGCTACTCTCCATGGCTCAGCTACCAGGTGCAGACTCTCAGCTTTCCAAGCAGGTGGTCTGAGGAAAGGGTTCCCACGGGAAAGTGTGTCTACAGGCCAAGAACAGGTGGACAGATGTGAGGACCTGGTCTGTGTGTCCGGAAGTAGGCACAGGAAGCGGACCAGCAGGGGGAGGCCTCAGAGTCCCCACCCCCCACCCCTGGGGGCCACTGATGCTGCTGGCCTTTGTGTACCAAAGGGCAGGAGGAGGCAAAGATCAGTTAGACTGTGGTGGGGGTCAGGGGTGGACCTCACATGGCTTGGGGGAAGGGAGCCTGTCTTGAGTCCATCCTCTGGGAATGTTGAAGGTTCCTCCCTGTCCTGGATTGATCGCTGGGTGCTTGTCCAAGGGAGGCTGGGTAAGTGAAGCTCCAAGGGCTGGCCCAGCTGTGCTGACCTTGTCCAGGTGGTCCCAAGCAGGTAGGTCAGAGGCTGGCTGGGTACAGGGAACCTGAGCAGTGCTCACTGTTTGAAGAAGGTTCTCCCTGGCCTGGGGCGGGAGGCAAAAACCAGGACTGCTCTCTTTGTGACCTCAGGGACCCCCCTTGCTCCTCCAGGCCTCAGTTTCCCCTCTGAGAGATGGGAAAGGGGCTGGAAGGTCCCCCTGGCTCATGTAGAGGTGAGCCAAGCCACACCAGGCCTCACCAGAGTGGAATGAGGTGGATGGCGGAAGTGTTTGGACGTGGGCTGGGAGGGCACAATGGGAGAGGGGCTGAGAGACTCCTGCCAGGCCCCCTGTGTAACCAAGTCATTTCTTGTCTTCCCATGCTCCTGTGGTTGCCTGGATCCTGCAGAGCTCCCCACTGAGGAAGGTGAGGCTTAGGCCAGCTGCTGGGCCAGGGTGTGACAGCCTTGGGTTATTCTCAACTCCCTCTCCCCCAAGAGCAGGCTTTGACAAGTCCCCCAGCCTGGCCCACCATAGCCTCTCAGGGCCTTGGGCTCCATGTGAATTGCAAGGATAGCAGGGGCAGGAGGTCCTACAATCACCTGCTCTGAGTGGGAGGGTGAAGGGCAGGGGCTTCAGTCTCACACTCCTGTTCCCAGGGAAGTCCCTGTGGGAGCTGGTGCTGGAGCAGTTTGAAGACCTCCTGGTGCGCATCCTGCTGCTGGCCGCCCTGGTCTCCTTTGTAAGTAGGTCCTGTGGGGTTGGGAAGCCTGGTTGGGAGAGCCAGGCATTTTCAGTCCCCACGCTGTTGGTCACAGGGCTGCTGTCCTTTTAACCTTAGGAATCTCTCACCTGCTCCCTAGCCTTTCAACATTCTCTTCCTTGCTAAGACTTCTACTTCCCATGCCTGAGCCCTCACTGCCCCACACTGGATTCCTGACTCCCACTGACCCTTCCAGTCCATCTTCTGTTGTGGCTGACCTGGCCCCTCCATGTCTCAGTCCAGAGTCTTGCATCTCAGTACTGTGGACATTTAGACCAAATAATTCTGGGTAGGTTCTGTCCTGTGCACCATGGGATGCTCAGCAGCATTCCTGGCCTTGGCCACCAGATGCCAGTAGCACCTCCCAGTTGTGACAACCGAAAAACATCTTCAGACCTTTCCAGATGCCTCTGAGGGGGCAAAGCTGTCCCCAGATGGCTACCACTACTTTGACCTCTCTCAGCCTTCCTCAGAGAGACATCGGGGTTCTGCCCTGCACCCTCCTGGGTGCTGTTTGCTTCCCTCCTCTCCATCCTTGCTGCCCAGTGCCCTTCTGGATCACAGGGTCAGAGTGGAGAAGGGGAGGAGACAGTGGTCATCTTTGATGACCATTCACTGGTCCATCCACTATAGGACTGGAAAGGACCCCAAGGATGATGTGATTCCCATCCCAACCATACCTCCAGAAGAGCCTGGGTAGGAGACCTTGTCTTGTTAACCTGGAGTGTGGAGCAGAAGTGGCACTGGCTGGGACTGGCTCTTCCCCTTCCTGGCCACTGTCCTTGTGAAAACCAGGGACTCTTGCAAAATAATCTGTCCATGTAGATTTCAGAAATGGCAGAGCTGACAGGGTGCATGTACCTTTTATAGCACAAATGGGCCTGTAAAGGATCATGGGGGCATGATGAGTGCCTACTTGGGCCAAGAAATAGATGTGGGACTTGACCCAGGTCTGCATCTCCCAGGCCTAGGCTCTGTGGCAGGAATGATGCTTCTCTGGCCAGTGGACCTTGAACCTGAGCGTGTATCACAGTTCCCTAGGCTTACAAAATGTACTGTATGACTTGGGAGATCTGCGTTGGGTTGGGTCCTGAGAGCTGTGATCCTGACAAGTCCTGGTGCTGCTACTGCTTGCTAGTCTGGGACCACATCTGGCTGTGTATGCTTAAAAGTTGGCCAGGGTGGGATAGGGATTATAGCTGAGCATCTGTGGGGGTGGCTTCCTCTGCTAAGGCTTTCTCAGAGGAGCAGGCTTCTTCACACCTAGGGTTCCTCAGGGATTCTCCCCCAAGCAGGGACACAAACATGAGATCCAGGGTTCGATGGGCAAGAGAGCAGCTGGGGCCCCCAGCACAGCCCAAATGATCAGCTCTGACCCTGCAGGTCCTGGCCTGGTTTGAGGAGGGTGAGGAGACCACTACAGCCTTCGTGGAGCCCCTGGTCATCATGCTGATCCTTGTGGCCAATGCGATCGTGGGCGTATGGCAGGTGGGAGGCACTGGAGGGAGGGGCTGGGGCTGCGCCCTGGGGTCTCCCAGATGCTAGGTGTGACCTCCACCTGCAGGTCCTTCTGCTTCCAGCTCTATCCCAGGTTCCAAGGGTGTCCCTCTGAGGGGGTAGCCTGCTGGAGTCAGCAGGGACAGACCCACCTCCATTGTATAGGAGCGTAATGCTGAGAATGCCATCGAGGCCTTGAAGGAGTATGAGCCTGAGATGGGCAAGGTGATCCGCTCAGACCGCAAGGGCGTGCAGAGGATCCGCGCTCGGGACATTGTTCCTGGAGACATTGTGGAAGTGGCAGGTGGGTATACCAAGGGCCTTCTCCTTTCTCTTCATGATATTAGAGAGCCCTGTCTCCAACTCCATTTTTCCAGCTGTCTACACAGAGGGGACATCTATCAGATCTCTCCAGAGCTCTTTGACCAAAGACCTTGTTGGACAGACCAGGAGACTGGCCAGAGGGGTCAGGGTCCACCTAAGGGACTACAGCTTAGGCCCCTGCTTCCCAGTCCCAACCTTGGTTCCTGGGAGCCTCCTGGCTTTCCTGGGGGTGGAGCCCAAAGCCAACTCAGCCAAGCCATTCACCCTGTGCAGTGGGAGACAAAGTGCCTGCAGATCTCCGTCTCATCGAGATCAAATCTACCACACTGCGAGTGGACCAGTCTATCCTGACAGGTGAAGTCCAGAGGCCAGGATGGGGTAGGGACAGGTCAGGTGGATGGTCATATCTTAAGGGTGGCTTCTTTTATCTGATCCCATGACCAGGTGAATCTGTGTCTGTGACCAAGCACACAGATGCTATCCCAGATCCCAGAGCTGTGAACCAGGACAAGAAGAACCTGCTATTTTCTGTAAGTTCCTGGGATGCTCAGGGCTTGGATAATGATAATAAAAATAACAATGTTAATATTAACCAAACCCTGTAGGAAAGAGCCTCATCAGCCTCATCAGTATGTGAAAATTGATAATAATCATGATAGCTTGTGTGTACTGAGGCTTGGGTACTGTTCTAAGCCCTTTACACCTGTAGTTTATTTAATCCTCACACCAAACCTTTTGAAATAAGGTTATCTGTAACTTGTTATCTGCATTTTCCAGCAAAGAAACAAACTCAGAGAGGTTAAGTAAATTGCCCAAGACCACACAACCAATGGGTGGCAGAGCTGGGATGTGAACTCAGATATCCGGGTCCCAAGAGCTTTCTCTCTTTCCTGCTAGGATACCCTGCCTTAGCCTGAAGAGGGGCAGAGCTTGTTATTAGTCACTCAATAGAAAATCCTCCAGAGGGAAGAAGGTTACAAAAGCAGTAGAGGGCTAGGGATATAACTTATTGGTGGTCCCTTGCCCAGCATGTATGAGGCCCTGGGTTCTATTCCCCAGCACTGCAAAAAAAAAAAAAAATGTGGAGATGATGACGATGGTCCATAAAATTGTCCCCACGGCGTGATGCCAGATCCCTAAGGGAGGCATGGGTTCAGCTTTGCTTAACTCAGAGTTAACAGGTTGACTCACTGCTACCTAGAAGCAGCCTGGAGCCAGTGTTGAGCATCCAGTTCCCCAAGGAAGGGCCAGGCCAGCCAGCCAGTGGCCCAGGACACCCAGGGGAAAGGGGCTAGGAAGCCTGCCTGGAAATGAAAGGCTAATGTGACACTCCTGGAGAGATTTTCCTGGGAACCCTTCCCCTGGCTGCCTTGAGGTGGGGAATTAGATACCAGGGGCTTACTGAGGAGGACAGTATATCGGGCAACAGGTCACTGTCTTAGCTAAGAGGCCTGGGGGTGAAGCTGCATTGCACAGGGTGGAGAAGGGCTGCTGTAAGCACCTGCCTGCTGTCCCCCTGCACAGCACGTCCATCTGAAGGGGTCCCAGACAACAGGTCTCCAGTCTTTCTTGGGCCTTCAGTTGCAGAAAAGAACACAGATACAGGGCTCCCTGTCTCCTGCACCTGGACTTGTAAATTTTACTAGGTCCTTGAGAATGGCAGTGCTTAGACTCAGGTTTTCTAGATTCTTCAGTATTTATAGACCGAAATCATTGTTAACCACACTGCCATGTGGTCATATGAATCCCATAGATGTTTATGAATCACGTTTTGGTGGGTTTGATGGTTTGGTGCCTGAGCTGTGCTGGTTGGTCATTTTGTCAATATCAGCCCTGAAGCCTCCTCTGTGCCAGGCCATGTGCTAAGCGCTGGGGATATAGTGATGAACCAAATCCCAACCTTCATGGAGCAATGACCCAATAAATACCTAAGTTCATAAGCCTGGAAGTATGAGCAGCATGAGGAAGAAAGCTAAGTAGGAAAAGAGCCTACTCTGGCCTGAAGGAGTTCAGGGGTCCTGGGTCCTGGTTGGGGTTGAGCAGCGCTTCCCTCATCCTCATCTCCTTTGTCCAGGGCACCAATATTTCATCTGGCAAGGCCATGGGTGTGGCAGTGGCCACAGGCTTGCACACGGAGCTGGGAAAAATCCGGAGCCAGATGGCAGCTGTGGAGCCTGAGCGGACGCCATTGCAGCGCAAGCTAGATGAATTTGGACGGCAGCTGTCCCATGCTATCTCCATGATCTGCGTGGCTGTGTGGATCATCAACATTGGCCACTTTGCTGACCCCGCCCATGGTGGCTCCTGGTTCCGTGGTGCCATCTACTACTTCAAGATCGCTGTGGCCCTGGCTGTGGCCGCCATCCCGGAGGGCCTCCCAGCAGTCATCACTACATGCCTGGCACTGGGCACCCGGCGCATGGCACGCAAAAATGCCATTGTGCGGAGCCTGCCCTCCGTGGAGACCCTGGGCTGCACCTCAGTCATCTGCTCTGATAAGACAGGCACACTCACCACTAATCAGATGTCTGTCTGCAGGGTGAGTGACTGCAGCTTGCTTAGGGTCCCACTGGGGGTGTGTGGTGCAGCTGGGCCCATTCCATGACCTTTTTGATGAGGGATGGAGAGAACCTATGGGTAGCTCACCTGGGGCAAGCAGATCTAAGTCTTCATGGGGGAGAGCAGACACATGCCAAGCTGTAGCAGACAACCCCTGGCTAAGCTTATGTCACTGGAGCCCATGTGTCATAGTGGGGTCCTGGACAGGTTGCTGTGTCTGTAGACCTCAGTCTCCTCATCTGAAGCCTGGGATTATGACCTCTGCTAGGTAACCTTAGAGGACCCTGGAAAGGGTCAAGCATCCCTGGTATCTGAGCCAAGTAGGCCTGGACCCAGGTTCTATCCTGCTCCATGGTGATTGTACAGTCTCTGTCACCAGATATGCCAGCTCCAGTGACCTGGGAAGGGCAAGGGCAGGAATTATTCATTCCCTGGCACTCGATCCCCCTCCCAGGTCTGCTGTCCACATGTTCCAGAGATTGTGACTAAGACTGCAAAGGACAGAGGGCTCCTCCAACTCAGCAGAGGTGGCTGGGGAAGTAATGGAGGCTGTGGTTTCCCAACTTTCCCAGTTCCCATTACTCCTCTCCCAGCCTACCCACTGGGCCTCAGGAATCCTGAGATCTGACAACCCATTGGAGCCCATCAGAGGAGGGGCACTGGTGGGTTTTAACTGCCCGCAGCCCCTGACCTGTTAAAATCTCTAGGATTTTATCTGAACAGTGTTCTTTGACCAAAGTCAAGATTTGGGGAGCATAATATTGGGGGGTTGTGGAAGTGAGCAAGCTGAAGTGCTGCCCAGGAGCAGAGAATGAGAAGGAAGGAACATTACTGAACATCTAATGGGTGCCAGGCTGGCACCCATTCTTGAGAATGTGCAGCAAGGAAGTTTCCAGGAAGCAATAACTTACTTACCTTGCAGAGCCTGCAGACAGACAGGAAATGGGCTGCCCCGGGAGGGGAGAGCCCCTCTCCCTAAGGTGCACAGGCAGGGTCTCACTCTCTGGTCATTTCTGGGGTGGAAGGAATTGTGCCTCAGAGCAGGGTTCATCCCTTGAGACCAGGAATTCAACCCCTTGAAGGAAAAGGAAGGGCAGCTGGATTCTGAGCCCACTGTCTCCCAGTGTTGCCAAGTAGAGAAACTGAGATTCAGGACTCACAGTGACATGGGCAAAGACAGAGACTTCCTACCTAGCTCAGAAGAATGAGCCATAATCCCTTCAGGAGTCCAGAGCAAGTGGCCACACCAGAGCTGGACACCCCTGGCAGAACAGAGTCCCTACCTCAGCTTGGACCCTGTACTTGTTACTTACCTCCAATGGGGAAAGAAGGCCAGGTGGTGCTTATGGGGGGGTGGGGAATGCCTCAAGACACCTCCCCATCAGGTGTCATTCAAACTGGTTGCCTAGGGAAAAGGTAGGCAACCAGCCACCTGAGCTTGTTCCTATGCTCCCTAGATGTTCGTGGTAGCGGAAGCAGAAGCAGGCTTCTGCCGTTTGCATGAATTCACCATCTCGGGTACTACTTATGCCCCGGAAGGCGAAGTGTGAGTAGGGCGAGGTGCGGGCAAGGCCTCCTGGTGGCTGGGACTGCGAGGGACAATGCAGCTGTGTGGGTGGGTGAGGTCTCCTTGGGGAGGCGTCAGAAACTAGACACCTCCCAGGGTGGGGCCAGGGTCTTGTACCAACCTGTTGAGCTCTACAGGTGGCAAGGGGAACAGACTGTGCACTGTGGGCAGTTTGATGGGCTTGTGGAGCTGGCAACCATCTGTGCCCTGTGCAACGATTCAGCGCTGGATTACAATGAGGTGGGCCCCATTCCCTTCATGACCTCCCTAGTGCTCGCTGAGTGCTCAGGACAGACCCTTTTCCTAGAGTCTTAAAACTCCCAGGGTTAGTGGTCCTTGTCCATGGGGAGGGCCACATTCCAGGAGCATGGTCCCCTATGCATACATGGGCTACCGTCCCTCCCTCTTGCTCAGATTGGCTTTGGAACCCTGCCCTGAGGCTTTCTGACGGTAGAGGACTACAGTGCAAGAGACCAAAGGACCAGTGATGCTTGCAGAAGGTTGGGTGGAGGGTGGGACAAAGGAGGGCACAGAGCAGACTGTACAACCCAGAAAAGACCCAGTCTGCATAAGCCAGATGTGAGAGCTGCTGAATGTCATTCGTGTGGCTGGAGCAGGAAGAGCCTCAGCCAGACCTGTCAGCTCCCATGCCAAGCTGAGGGCAAGCAGAGTGCCACCAAAGGGTTTTCAGCAGAGTGATAACATTCATGCTTGCATTTACAAAAATCTCCCAGGCCTCTGCATGAACAATAGCACAGACAGGACAAAACAAAATGGGGAGTCCTGTGTGGCTGGAAGGATGCCAGCTGAACCCTGACTGGGGCTTCAGGAGAAGGGAGAAGCCCAGAGATATTTAGGAACGGAAGCCCTAGGTCTTGGTGACCAGTTAGGTGAAAGAGAGGAAAGAGGTCAGGGCAGCCCATGTTGCTGTCCTGGCTGGCTATCACTGGAGTTGCAAACATAAGGAGAGGAGGAGGTAGCTTGAGGATTGCCTAGGGAACAAGTTCCCTTAGGCAGCAATGGTTATGTCTGCTTGGAGCTCTGGAAAGAGGTCTGGCCTGGGCTGGGTACTGGCATTTGTGAACAAGTGAAAGATGCTAAAGGCAAGGAGCAGGTAGGGACTCAAGGAGAGAAGGGGAGGAGCAGGCAGCAGGTTTGAGGCCTAGTAAGAAGAACCTGGTGAAGGAGGCTGAAAGGAGTGGAAGGGCAGGGACAGTGTATGACCATTGATGCTTAGGGCTGAGGGGTAGATGTAGAAGTCAGACACCACCCTGACCCCAAGTCAGGCCTGTGCAAAGGAGGTTGCACAAACTCAGGCAAAGCCATGTCTGGGGACAAGGAGGGAGTGGAAGGTGAGACTGGAGAGCCTGACTAGGGGCAACAAACCCCTCACCCCCTGTCCCCTGTCCCCTGGGACCCTCCAGACTAAGGGTGTGTATGAGAAGGTGGGAGAGGCCACAGAGACGGCCCTGACTTGCCTGGTGGAGAAGATGAATGTGTTTGACACAGACCTGAATGCACTGTCCCGGGTGGAGCGAGCTGGCGCCTGCAATGCGGTGAGCAGAGTTGGGGCTCTGGCCTGGTCTTCGTGGCTAGGGGTTCTGGGGTGTCTGGAGAAGGGAGAGAGGAAACCACAGTCTTAGGAGGCTTCTGGCAGGAGGAAGGAGCTCAAATGCCTGGTAAGACTTGGCTACCAAGCAGAGAGAGGGAAAGACTGAATGTGGGCAAAGACTTGGAGTTGCAAAGTACATGAATTGTCAGAAAATGGCAACTTTTGGAGGGGAAGACTGGGGCAGGGTGGGGGGGTGGCTTTGAAGGCCAGAGTTAGGGAGTGTAGATAGCTGACCACAAATAGTGAGAGTCTCTTCTTGGGACCATACAGCTAGTGAGAAGCAGACAAGAGTTGCTGGCTCTGTCTCTCATGCTCTTATCTGCCTGGACACCACAGGTCATCAAGCAGCTCATGAGGAAGGAGTTCACCCTCGAGTTCTCCCGGGACCGGAAATCCATGTCAGTTTATTGCACGCCCACCTGCTCTGACCCCAAGGCCCAGGGCAGCAAGATGTTTGTGAAGGTAGGGGCCTGTATATGTGGCCTGGGGCTCCTGGGGCTCTAGTCATCTGAGACACCAGTCTGAAGGGAGACTAAGGGAGGTGTGAAGCCCATTAGCAAAGTGGTGAGTCTAGGTGGGGTGGTCAGAGTGCCATGGGCAACTAAGAGCAGCGTCCTGATGTGGTTGGGGTAAACCAGGACCAAGGGAACAAGCCTGTCCTTGATCATGGTCCTAGCTCTAGGCTTAGGGTTACTATCTTGTCACATGACCTAGGGGTCATCCATGCCCTTCTGTGGGTCTAAGTCTCCCCATGTGAATAACAAGGTTGGACTAGAAGCTCTCAGAAGCCCTTTTTGCCTTTGACTAGTGGTGTTGGATGTGGTTGGTTCTTCCCCTTGATACTCTGTTTTTTGGAAACTGAGTCCCAGGGAGGGAATGGAACCAGCTCACATCCAAACCTCCATCCAAAGCACCTCCTGTGGCTGCTTTAAAACCTGAAGTAGAAATCACAGCCCTAACTTTATCCCACAGTGGAGGTTTTAAACCCTTGTGAGATGAAAAGTTTTCCATACTGGGAACTCTGGCCACTTTGAAAAGTTAGCTTCTGGGGTGGCCTCTTGGGAGAGGGAAAAACCATTGATGGAGTATTCAGAGACTGCCTAGGCCTGTGTGGAGTCCAAAGTGAGACCCCCCTGGTGTGAAGGAACCTGTTACCCTTCCACCAAAGCCCACCTTCCCGGGGCCACACCCACCATACCCTCTGCATGGTTCTGTTTCTGGTCCCCTGCCTCCCTACTGCTGAGGCTCCTATAGAACTGGATGTCAACAGCATCAGGCAGGTAAGGACATAGGGCCCATGGAATGCTACTCCCACCCCCACTTCCAAATGCTGCACGCAGGCCTTCTTTGCTGGTGGAGGTAGGGACTACCTGCTGGGTGGCTATGACTTCATCTTCTTATTCCCTTTAAGCTTTCTTGTAGTCGGCCCACTTGGTTCCCACTTTGAGTTTCCAAAGAATGGATTTTGGAATGCTTTGCTGGGTGTTTCCTTGGAGGCCTTTCTCCATATATGGGTCTCAGTTTCTTCTCTTAGGTAGGAGGGAAGGAGGGGTCCTGGTTGGTGGAGTTGCCTCCTCTCCCCCTCCCTCTCTGCAGGGGGCTCCTGAAAGTGTGATTGAGCGCTGCTGCTCAGTTCGTGTGGGGAGCCGAACAGTACCCCTGAACACCACCTCCAGGGAGCAGATCCTTGCAAAGATCCGGGACTGGGGCTCAGGCTCAGACACACTGCGTTGCCTAGCACTGGCCACCCGGGATCAGCCCCCGAGGAAGGAGGACATGCAGCTGGATGACACCAGCAAGTTTGTGCAGTACGAGGTAGGTGCTGGGAGCCTCGTGTCTCCCTGCAGTGGCTGATGGGTTAGAAGGTTGAGGATGTGCTCAGTTCTGGTTTGCCTCTGCCTCCCCTCTACAGACAGACCTGACCTTTGTAGGCTGTGTGGGCATGCTGGACCCACCCCGGCCTGAGGTGGCTGCCTGCATCACACGTTGCCACCAGGCAGGCATTCGAGTGGTCATGATCACAGGGGACAATAAAGGCACAGCTGTGGCCATCTGCCGTCGGCTTGGCATCTTTGGGGACACAGAGGACGTGTCAGACAAGGCCTATACAGGCCGTGAATTTGATGACCTCAGCCTTGAGCAGCAGCGCCGTGCCTGCCGCTCTGCCTGCTGCTTCGCCCGTGTGGAGCCAGCACACAAGGCCCGAATTGTGGAGAACCTGCAGTCCTTCAATGAGGTCACCGCCATGGTGAGTCCACGGGCCTGGGACCTGGGGAGGTGGCTGACTTGATTACAGTTGTAGCCTGGCTCTTCACTTTATCTTTGATGCTTATTCTAACTTTGTCCCTGACCTTGATCTCCATCTTAATCTGGATTTTTTTTACTTTGAGCTCAACCATGATGTGGGTTCCAGCCTTGCTCTAGACCCAGAAGTTATCCCAAGTGTTAACCTTGCCCACTCTCACCTTTATTTTGACCTCAACTTTTATTTGCCTCTGATCTTGACTTCAATGGCAACTCCTTAACTATGATACCCCTGCTCATTTGGACAGTAACCTTGACTGGGCCTCTTCCTTAATCTCTTTTTTTAATCTTGAGCCTGAGTCTGATCTTGATCCTGACCTTCACTATCTGAATTGACTATGGCTTTCTCCCTAACCTCCTCCATTTCATCTTCCACTCCGTATGCTTTCATCCTTGCCCACCCTCCTCCCTCATTTTCTCTGAACTTAGACTTGATCTTCTCCCCAACTTTCTCCTTGCCTGAACCCCTTCACCTTCCCTTCGCCTCATCCTCAGCCCAGTTTCTAAGTTCATTCTTGACCCCATCATCTCTTCTGTCTTCCTCCTTGGGGACATCCCCTAATATTGGGTAAGCTGAGTTGTGGGGAGGCAAGAGGTGGAAGGGAAGTTTCTCAGGTGTGTTCTACCTGACCCTGCCTACAGACTGGTGATGGGGTGAACGATGCACCAGCCCTGAAGAAAGCAGAGATTGGCATTGCCATGGGCTCAGGCACAGCCGTGGCCAAGTCTGCTGCAGAGATGGTGCTGTCAGATGACAACTTTGCATCCATTGTGGCTGCAGTAGAGGAAGGTCGGGCCATCTATAGTAACATGAAGCAATTCATTCGCTACCTCATTTCCTCGAATGTCGGCGAGGTGGTCTGGTGAGGCCCTTTGGACCAGGGATCGAGGGATACATGCCTGCCCTGGCTGGGTGGGGAGGGAAGGGACACCTTGTTATTCTCTCAAGGCCCTGATGACCCATGATCTTGGTCTACCCCAAAGGACCTCCAGTCATCAGCTTCCCACTTTCAGACTCACAAGACTTAGAGAAGCCTGTGTGTGCATGCCGGAGTGAGTGATGTGTGCACACGTTGATGTATGCATGTGTGCTCTTAGGCATCTGGGAGTGTGAATAGAAGCAGGATGTGGGCCAGCGTGTGATTGTGTGCACACTGTTCACATGTGCAAGATGCCTGTGGAGAATGGTAAGCACGTATGGACTCTGCACCTCTGCATAGGGATGTTCGCTTATGTTTGTCAGACTGTGTGTGTGGCAGGTGCCAGGTGTACTGTGTGTGTCTGATGCTTGGGCATGTGCGCACACATGTGCATATATGTGTGTCCTAGCTTCTGCTAGGCCTAAAGGGCAGGTATTTTGGGTGCAGAGCTGGGCCTGGAGGAGGTAGTCTGAGTGGGTGTGGGTATGTTTACACACCCCTCTCCTGTGTGTACATTCCCCTTGCTTGTGCACACACAGCAGCACCAGCAAATAAATGGTTCAGTGGAGACAGGGCGGTCCTGGGCCTGGGCTATGACCTGAAGCTGAACCTTTGCCTGCTGGAGGCTAGAGCCCATGCCTCTGGTTCTAGCATCTTCCTCACGGCAATTCTGGGCCTGCCTGAAGCCCTGATCCCTGTGCAGCTGCTCTGGGTGAACCTGGTGACAGACGGCCTACCTGCCACAGCCCTGGGCTTCAACCCTCCAGACCTAGATATCATGGAGAAGCTTCCCCGGAACCCTCAAGAGGCCCTCATCAGTGGCTGGCTCTTCTTCCGGTATCTGGCTATTGGAGGTGAGCAGGGCCCAGTCCTTGCTGGCCTTCCCAAGCTTCCTAAGGACTCATGACAGATAGATTTACAGACTGCAGACAGGGTAGCTCAGCTGGTATTGCCAAGAGAAACTCTGGAGCCTCATGAAACTGAAAACATGAGGCATACTCCAGGTATGGCTGGATCCAGGCCTAAGACAGTATCCCTGTCATATTCTGCCTCAGCTCCATTCTCAGGCAGGTGTCTTTGGATGACAGAGTGGCTGCTCCATCTCCAGCCTTTATGTGTACTCCATTACAACCATAAATTAAACAGAAGAGAACCTTTTTGATAGGTGTCTGCAAACCGTATGGCCTGCAGAGGGAGAGGGTGGTTCCCTGATAGAAATTCAATGAGTTGTTAGGAAAGAAAAGTGGATGGCAGAGAACCACAGCTGTCCACTACAGCCAGCCTCCTCCCCTACCTGCAGTGTACGTAGGCCTGGCCACAGTGGCTGCCGCCACCTGGTGGTTCCTGTATGACTCCGAGGGACCCCACATCACTTTCTTCCAGCTGGTGAGCAAGGGAGCCTATTAGGCAGCCCCAAGGTGGACTGAAGTGGGTTGTGGGAGTTTCAGAGGAGGGATCCAGATCGCCATGACTGGCCTACAGCCATCCTTTCCCCCACTCCCACCCTGCCCCACCCTCTGTGGCCATCAGCCACCTGAGGAGCCAACCCAGAAGGTCCTGGAGATCCAAGATGCCAGCCTGGTCCCTTGCCAGAGGAGATGCTGCATCCTCTTCCAGTCACTTGGGGACCAAGGGCCATAACCACTCAGAGGTGTCTTACCTTTATCAAGGAGTCCCCCTAACATGGAGGGCTCAGAGGAGTGATCCCAAAATAGTGGAACCGCAGGCATAAGGTCAACAGATACTCCTCAGGGGCAGGGCCCATTGCCTTTTGGAGTCGCCTGGCTGGCAGTTGTCTACCACAGCATCGTGCAGCACAGTACCATCTTAGTGGGCACGGCTCTGAAAGCTGCCCTCTGCTGTCTTGGGCCTGGGCTTGGAAGATAGAGAACTGCAGGGAGGCAGCTTTTCTTCTTGAGTGCTGCCTCTGTTAAGGTCACCTGAAAGGAGCCACATTCCTGTCCTCCCTCCCCCCACCACCTGCTAAGGCTCAGGTCACCTTGGCACCTATGCTCTTTTGGTTCCTGTAGGTGCACAGGCTGACAGGCTGGTGCTGCATTGTCTCCTTTCAGCCCTGTGACTGTCACTAGCATTTAGACTAGGGTTCCAAATCTCCGATGACCCCCCTTCTGAGTTCCAGGCCCATAGATGGAGCTGTTCACCTTCTCTGCCATGTCCCACAACTCCCTTGCAAACTGAAAGGCCAACACCAAGTTCATCACACTTCCCCACACTAAACTCTCCATCTCTGCTTGGTTCCAGTGCCTGGTTATCAGAGGACACCTGTGTCATGCTAGATCCACCCCACCCCCACCACCAGTCAGAGGGGTCCAGAACCCCAGGGTACCTAGAAGGAGGTGCCAAAAGGCAACAGAGTGGTTAACAGCAGGAGGCAGGAGTTTAGATCCAGGATACTGGGTTTCACACTCTAGTTCACTACATGCTAGCTGTGTGACTTTGGATAGGTTTCTTGACCTCTCTGTGCCTTAGTTTACTCATCTATAAAATGAATAGTGGTCCTACCTCATTGGGTTATCAGAGGATTCACTGAGTTAGTATTTGTGTAGTGCTTAGAACAACACCTGGCACTTAGTAAGAGCCATATGTGTTAAGTTAGTAAAACCCAAAGGGGAGCCAGGTGTGGTACAAACCTGTAATCCCAGCACTTGGGAGTCTAAGGCAAGAGAATTGCAAGCTCTAGGCCAACCTGTGCTATCTAGCAATATCCTATCTCAAAAAACCCAGACAAGCAAACAAAAACCCAAAGAGGGCCGTGCAGGAAGGGGAAATAGGAAACAGCCAGGAAGGCTAAGTAGGGAGAGTAGCCTTCACAGATAGGAATGGATTCTTTTTGGGGTTCCTGATGTACCTAGGAGACAGAATTTCAACTCTGATCACCTCCCGATAAACCGGGAGGCCACAGTGGGCCTAATGTGTGTGACATGGGTTCACAGTTCTGGAGGACCAGAACTGGCAGAGTATATGGCCAGGGCAGTAGATCTGTGGAAACACCCTGACATGACTGTTAATATTTCACCCTGGGGATGAGCTGAGCAGGAGGATGTCAGCATGCGTGTGCCCAGGTGGGAGGTGCATGCACCTGCGTTTGTGCATACCTTTGCTTAAGTTGTTAAAATCTAGGATGGCAGAGCCTGACTGCTTGGCACAACTAGCAGGAAGGCTTGGTCACTCTGGGTTCCAAGTTTGGAACATTTTCTCTGCCGTATGATCAGCACCAAGTACAAACAAGCGCAGGGCTGGGTTGTAGCTCAGTGGTAGCACCCCTGCCTAGCATGGGCAAGGCTGGGTTCCATCCCCAGCACTGCAGGGTGTGGGGACAGTACAGTTGCCTCAAATGTTGGGGCATGGTTTTTGAGGACAGTGCCATAATTTGTTTAAAAGAGATCCAATTCTCTATCTCTTTGATAAAAGAAGAGAGCTAGCCAAACCACAGTCTTTCATAATCTTCTGTAACTTTACTTCTGGCACGAAAGAACAGAGGAAGGCACCCAGAGCTGCCTTATCGGTTGCACTCATGCAGGCTGGGAAAGTGATGACGCCCTTACTGCTCAGCTTTCTGTTCAGACAGCCAGGCAGCCTCGCACTTTACAGCTTTCTCTTGAAGGATTCTTTTCACAGCTCCAGGCCCCTATTTCTAAACCTTTACCTTTAAAGATCTCCGTGTTCAGAGGAGACTCCCAAGAATGGATTGATGCCAAGCTGCTTACCAGTCATGACTACTTGAAATCATCCCCATGGTGTGGGAGAGAGCAAGACAGGAGAGTCCAGACGTCCTCAGTTCATCTGTTTGGCTGTAGAGTCTGAACAAAGCTTAGGAGCAGAAAGAAAACCCACTGGAACTACAGGGGGCCAAGGCTTTTCCTTTATTGGGTGCTGACAGCTTCTTGTTAATTGGGTGTCTAGACTGCATCCTAGCAACTAGTCATCCATGTTATATGCAGGAAGTGGGGCTGGTAGTACTGGGTTTCAGTGACAAAGGGAATGAGGCAGGAATGGAGCCTTATCTAGTAACAGTGAAGAGGTCTTTGTCTTCTAGCCCTTGAAGGTGAATTCCATTCAGCCATGATTTTTGTGGACTGATTTTCACATGTATTTACTTGCTTACTGGTGTCAGTCCATTACTGTCCCCCTATTCCTGACCTCAGAGACCTAGAGTCCCAGAAAACCTGGACCCTCCCCTAGCCCTGGGGCCCCCTAGAGTCCTCCCCAGCCAGCTGCTATTCCTGTGGTCCACCAAAGCCCCTGTCGCTCTGTGTGCCCTTCTCTCTGGCCCCGTTTTGGAGCCAAGCACCCTTGTGGCTTCCCGACAGTACTCTGCCCACTAGTCATCTTTAGGTGTGGCCAAGGGTGTGGGAGGGTTTCCCTCTGCTCATCCGCCCATGGCTGCTCTTCCTGACCCCACCATGATGCCCTCAGAGGAACTTCCTGAAGTGCTCCGAGGACAACCCACTCTTTGCTGGCATCAACTGCGAGATCTTTGAGTCCCGCTTTCCCACAACTATGGCCTTGTCTGTGCTGGTGACCATTGAAATGTGCAATGCCCTCAACAGGTAGGCTGGGCAGAAGGCTTGGAGCTAGGGCCAAAGGTCAGAGGGGCTGGGATACAAGTCAGAGTTGACCAAGATTGGCATCTGAAGGGTTCTGAGGGCCAGAATTGGGTTCTAGGAGCAAAGGAGCTGAGGCTGGGGTTTGAAGACATGGGGGGACCAGGATTGGATCTGAGGGAAAGAATCCACACTCCTGGATGGGTTTCTGAGGGCGGGGTGAACTGCAATAACACCTGTCCTGGCTCTGCAGCCAGCCCATCAGTGGTGCTGAGGTGTGGGTGCCCCACGGGCCTCCTTATCCCAGCCTGAGGTGAGACCCCTGTGCCTTCGGCAGCGTATCTGAGAACCAGTCACTGCTGCGGATGCCACCCTGGCTGAATCCCTGGCTCCTGGCAGCCGTGGCCATGTCCATGGCCCTGCACTTTCTCATCTTGTTTGTGCCACCCCTGCCTGTGAGTTGCCCCATGTGCCTCTTCCCCCTCAGTTCCTTGGGTGACAGGACATTAGATGCCCTGGCTGGACACTGGGCCTTTCTGGGCACCTCTGTGTGGAAGCTGTCTGGAGGACAGGGTGGGGGCTGTATGTGTGGCTTAAGTGGTAGAACACCTGCTAGTAAGCACGAAGCCCTGAGTTCAAACCCCAGTATCCACCCCCCCCAAAAAAAAATCTATGGAGGACAGGTTGGTGAGAGGTCCTGCCAGCCACTGGCATGGACCAAGATCATTTGGTCCTGTGGGTGAGGAAGGGGGCGGCACTTCTGGCAAAGGAAACCTAGTGAGCAATGATCTTAGTCTGGAGGTTGGACCTCAAAGGATCTTAGATGTGACCATGCAGAGTCCACTGGTGTCCAGATGGATGAATCAGGTGGGCAGTCAGGAACCTGACCATTCTTCCTTTAATGGACTCTTTCCCCCACCTGGCCAGCTCATTTTCCAGGTGACCCCACTGAGTGGGCGGCAGTGGGTGGTGGTGCTACAGATGTCTCTGCCTGTCATCCTGCTTGATGAGGCCCTCAAGTACCTGTCTCGGAACCACGTGGATGGTGAGTGGAAGACTCTGCACTCTCCCACCTACTTCCCTCCAGCAGCCTCCCCACCGGCCCAGGGTGTGGTCCAGCTTCAGCCTCCCTGTCTGTACAGTGGGAGAGCTACTCTGGATCATGAAGTATCTGGGGATCTTGTGCTGCAGGGATCCTGGCTAAGCTCACTGGGCTACCAATGGGAGCACCCTCAGGGCCATGCTGCCTTGCTGACCTCACTCTGCCACTCCCTAGGTTGGTTAGGTGCTGTGTGCTACGCAGGCCTTGGCCTCTGACGCCTGTGCATGGCCTTGTCTTGATCTAGCATTCTCAGGACAGTTGAACAGGCTTGAAGTAGGCAACTGCCACCTCCTGAACCCCAGATCATACTGGATCGACCTCTTGGCTGTCGCCTTATGGATGGGTGTAAGGGAGAATCTGCCTTGACTCAGGAGTATTTGTTAGAGTGGCAAGGGTCAGAATGATGGGCAGAGTATAGTATGTAGAGCAGTGAACTGGATAACTGTGGAGGGCCTGGGTAAGCGCCAGGCAAATGGCTAAGCCCTGCTTTGGGCAGCCAGGACTTTGGAGCCATTTCTGGCAGGAATGTACCCCTGCCCCAGGGAAGAGGGGGAGGCTATAAATAAATCCCATGCCTGTCATTCATAAGGGGCTCCCATCCCCCATGCTGGCGAACACTGCTGGATGCTACAAAAGTTATGTTAAGAAGGGCCCAAATGAGTTGCCTCCTCTCTGGAGAAGTTGGCCTCCCACTGATCTCTCCAGGGAGTGGCCAGACTCAAGTAAGGGGTGGTTCTCCTGAGGGTAGAGGTGTGTGCTCAGCCAAAACGGACCTGTTGAAGCCCATAGACAGGCCATGGGAGCTGGTCTAGACCATTCTGGGCTTCACACACACACACACACACACACACACACACACACACACACACACGGTTCTTTCTGGCTCACCCTGTGTGTATACCCCTGGTGAGATGCCCAGGAAGAAATAGGTCTGTTGCCAGAAATTGCAGCCACAGGGTGGAGGCATCCCAGCCCTGACCACAGTCAACCTCCTGGGTACACAGGTAGCTGGGCAGCTTCTTTTGTCTTTCTTAAGAGGTGTCCCTAGTGGCCAAAAAGCCAAGGAATTCAGAAAGTTTTCTTGAGAATATTTAAAAGGGAGAGAATTCTGCATGTGAAGAAAACCCTGTATTGGCTGCTGAACTCAAGATTTCTGGGTCTGACGGAAGGGAAAGGGCCCAGATGGGATAGGTTAGAAGGACTGCCAGACTGGGGCAAGGGGTAGTTTCTAGAAGATTTGGCATTAAAGTGGAGACTTGAAAGGATGGAACTGAACCTGATGGGGCAGGGGCTAGGACATCTCTGATGGGACTGGAGCCTAGAGTGCAGGGCAGAGGTGAGGTGCAGAGGGCAGCAAGGGCTTTGAATGCCAAGGTAAGGGCACTGAACATGCCATCAGAGTGATGCGGAGGCTACAAAAAGCATGCAACTATAGGAGGATCTGCAGTGACCATGGGAGACACTGTAGGAGGCTAGACTAAAAGCAAGGAGTGGTTTTGAACTGCTCTGGGGAGGAGACAAAGTCCTGGCTGAGGATGAGCTGGTCATAGGCAGCTGGCTGGAGATGTTGACTGTGGTCCTTGTGAAGTTTGGCTTATAAAAGGAGTGGTTGTAGGACCCATAGGAGGGACCCATGCTGAGTGCTTGCGGCACATCTGAGGCGGTTGTGTGCTTGCTGGAAGGCCATACAGCTCTGGACTGGTACAGCAGGCGCTGCAGTCCCTTGGGCCTCCTAAAGCTGGACAGGGTGGCGGTGAGAGGGGACCCTTCACATTCCCAAGCCAGCCTAGTGGCCTTTTAGGGAAGTTTTGCTGAGGCCTGACACTTGTAGCTTCCCTATGATTTATAAGGATGTATCTTGGGGAGAATTGTAGATGCAGGGTCAGCTCTGGGCCCGGGGGCCCTCTTGCCCCACCCCTGGCTCTACCCAGGTGCCACTGAGCTGCTATCAGGAGGCCTGTGGGATAGACCGGAGAAGAGAGGGCTGGAGAAGCTGAATGGGGACAGATATGGGAAGGTCCAAGGTGTGAAGCAGCCCTGGACTTTCATCTGGACAGTGGGGAGCTGTGGAAGGTGATAGGGGGCTGGGTTTGGGCTATTGAGTGATACCAACCACAGGAGGTTGGTAGTGAGTTGGGATGGGCAAAGAACTCGGGCAGGACCTTGAGGCCTGTTGGGGTCAGCTCAAGAGATTTTGTTAAAATCAGAACTATATGTGGGATACAGGGGTGAGGTGGGGAGGATACTCCATTTCTGGACCTCGTGATGGGGGGTGGAAGGTCCAAAACTGAAAAGCAAGAGGAGAGTTTTCCTTGGGGCAGGTTGGTAATGTTGAGGGAACATGTAAAGTTCAGGAGGCCTGGGGAGGTGAGGGTGGTGGCCAGGGGCAGGTGTCCAGGTTGCATCGCAAGAAGGCTGGCCTGGCTGGGGATAGACTGGAGGAAGTGAGGCCATGGGAGAAGGGGCTATCCCCCAGAGAAATGGAGGGTGGAAGGGGCCAGCCTGGATGTGTTCTCTCACCTGCCTTAACTTGCTCTCTGGTTTTTCTTCCAGAAAAAAAGGATCAGAAGTGAGTGCTGGAAGTAGAGAGGAGTCTCCAGTGTGGATCTGAAGCTGATGGTGCCCTGGCATTTGTCCCCCGTCCCCACCCCTACCACCACACTCACCCCCTGCCCACCAGGCCCTGCTGGATGCACCACAAACCTAAGGCCAGAATGACCACCCGCAGGCCCAGCTCCGGGGTCCCTGTCTCCATTTCCCTCTGACCTGAGGACTCATGGCTCATGTCTCCTGGGAAGTTCCCTTCCTATAGCTCCAGCCCGGGGGCTGAGCCTGGGAGGCACTACCAAGAAGCCAGAGGCAGCACATCAGAGATACAGAGTCCTTCCCCTCTGCACATCCTCTAGCATGTCCTCTTCTGCTTGGAGGCTGGGAATTTGTTTGGTGACCTGTGCTTGGACCCTGATGGAACACTCTTAGGGCCTTCTTACTGGCTCTGACCTCTCACTTAGTGCCTCGTCTGGAGTGTGGTCAGCGGCGGGGGGGCTAGGATCATAGGGGGCCATCTGGTCCCAGCTGTGCACAGTGAGGCAGGCAGCACCCCCACTTGGCTCTGCCCCCACCAAGTCAGCTCAGGAGAGCCAGAGCTTGATTGTTTATATGTGCAGGCCAGAGGGCGTTGAGGGGTCAGAAGGGAGAATACAGGAGCAGAGAAGGGGCTGGGCAAAGACTGCCTTTCCCTGGAGATGGTCTGAGCTGCCTCCCTCAGTTTGTCTGTATCCCCAGTTCTCAGCTCACTTCTCAAACTCAGGTTTTCCTGCCCCAGGTATATGACTTAGTATAGCCTGGTCTGCCAAGCAGAGGCCAGATTTGCTATCTGTGTCCCTGGTGCCTGAGACTGCAGACATCTTTGGGTCCCTGACTACTGTGCCCTCCTACCCAGCCAGTGTTAGGTCATTCTGCACAGCTGGGTAATTCTGGTCTCCTGGACTCTCCTTGGCATCACTCTTTGCCCATCTCTCCCTAAACACATACCCATGAGCCAAAAGGATGGCCATTCCTCAAGAGCACTTCCTGTCCCTGCCAGAGGGTTGCAGCATCTGTGCATGATCTGTCAGATGGTAGAAGATAGCATTTGAGGGACAGGATGTTTTTCTCTTAACTTTGCTTTTGTTCTGTTGGCGAAAACTAGCTAGGCATGGCAGAACACTGTACACACCTGTCTGTGTTCTCACCCCTTCCTGAGTGTACAAAGTGATTATTTTATATGTAAATCAAAGATTCACATTCCTCCCCTGATCCCCAGAATCAAAAGTCCTCTCAGCCTGCCTCACAGATAAATGGGCTCTATATTCTACAGCCCTGTCCCCCATGCTTCCTTCCTCCCCTCTCAAAGGTTCTGGAAGGCCCAAGAGAGAAACAGAGTTGGAAGTGTCTTGGCAAGGGCAAGTAGAAAGTGTCTGGTAGAAAAATAAAGGTTGTGTGCTGGGGGAATGGAGCGCTGCCAGTGTCTTTTTGCCAGCTGGGAATCTACCTAGGGTCTGCCCACCTGGACTCCAGCAAAGTGAAGGTATGGGATATTCCTGTATCACCAGGATTGGTGTGTTCCTCTGAGACGGGGCTTTGGAGAGGCGGTGACTGGAACTACAACTCTGAACCACATCCCAATAGCAGATGCAGGTTGAGGCCCTCATTGATTCAGCCTGCTTGCTCTGCACATGGATAGCACTTGACAGTTTAAGCATGTGTTCAGAGATGTTTTAAGCTGTTTATGATTTGCATGGGTGTGGGGGGTAACATGATAGCCTTAGGCAGGGCCAAGCCTGGAGCCTGAATCTCAGGAGACCCTAATTTTTTTTGGTAGGTTCTGCAACTTTCACTGAAGTCTCTTGCTCTGCTTCCCTCTCCTCAACTCCCAGAATCATATCCATGTCTGGCCCTTCTGAGCCTAGTTCAAAGGCATCTCTTTGCCCCTCCCCATGACTTCCCTCAGTTCACAGTACCCAGGGACCCCCTCTGAAAGGGTGCTTGAGACTTGAGATGAGTTGACCTGCCCAGGTAGCCAGGGAGCAGAGCTCTAGGCAAGAACTAGCCAAGTTCCTATTTGTCTTTAGAGACTCACCTGGAATGTCTGATATCTAGTTCTCTACCCAGCTATCTTGGGCCAGCTTGAAAATGAAAACCTGGAACTCTTTCTTCAAAAATTAAGAATTTTTAGAACTGGGTGTCAGTGGCTCATGTTTATAATCCTAGCTACTTGGGAGGCTGAGATTGGAACCTGGGTAAACAGTTTGCAAGACTCCATCTCCAAAATAACTAAAGCAAAATGGACTGGAGGTGTAGTTCAAATGGTTCAAAGAGCCTGCTTTGCAAGTATGAAACTGAATTCAAACCCCAGTTCCACCAAAAAAACACAAAAAAACATCATAAATAACCAGATTACCATGCTGAGAATGTAGATGAGTGACAGCATTCGTGAGGCTCTGGGTACATCCCCAACAGCACAAAAAAACTAAACAGAAGAGCACAAGTGCTTCTGAGTGTGGGCTGATGTCGTAGGTCCATGAAGCCAACTCTTAGGAAGGGGACAAGCCCTGTCTGGGAGCTCCTGGGGCTTCTGATGTGGGAGGGATGGACAGAAGGATTATCTGCTACATGGGTAATCTATGAGGTCTGTCATATACAACCTTCTCATATGTCTCCTCTCAGGGTCTTCAGCCAGCCCTGTGACATGGACCAGGCAGGAGGCCAGGCCTCCATTTAAGAGATAAGGAGCCTGAGATCCAGAAGGACAATGACTTATCCAAGGCTCTTCAAGGCCCTGACTCTTGACTTGGCTTGTCTCATGGTGGCAGTGTGTGGAGCTGAGATGGGCTGAGGGAACTGGCAGCAGAGGTGTGTAGCCAGCATCCTCTGGGTTTCCGTGGCCAGGCATATTTTGCCTCCACCCCCACCCGGGTCTGCTCATGTCCAGCTCTGTCCAACCCATGGCATGGAGTCCACAGGCCAAGATGGGGCAGCCAAGGTAAACAGAGGTTTCCTTACCTCACAGCTGCTCACCCAGGAGGGAATTCTGGGGCAAGCCCCTGCTCACCCCTGTTGATCTCAGAGGTATCAGCTTCCAAAATGTTCCCCGGGTCCCCCTGCTCCTCCAGAAACCAGGACTTTGTGCTCCACCCCTCACAGAGGTGGGAGGGACCATGTTGGGGCTGTGTTAGAAGAAACTGAGCAAAATGAGAGGCAGGAAGGAAAAAGGAAGACATGTACCCGAAGGGCTGAGCCTAAGTGTCAAGCAGTCTAACTCAGTACAGGGTCCCAAAGTCCATTCATAAGTGAGGGATAAAGCAAATATGGTGTGTCCACAAAAGAATAATCCTCAGCAATAAAAGGAACAAATGACCAAATATGCAACAACATGAAGAGAGCGTAAGATCTCTGTGCTGAGTGAAAGAGGCTAAGCACTAAAAGCACCCATCCTGTGATTCCACTTATGTGAAGTTCCACAAAAGGCAGGACGAATCTGGAGTGACAAGCAGATCAGTGATTCCCTGGGCCTGGGAGCTGGGGAAAGACTGACTGCCAAAAGGCAGGAGGGAACCTTCCAGAATGATGGACTATGGGGTGGCTACATGCATTTCTCAGAACTCATCAAATTGTGTGTCTAAAGTAGGTACATTTTATTGTATGTGAATTACACCTTAACCCAGTTTGATTTATAAGAAGAGAGAAAGAGAGAGAGAGAGAGGCAGATAGAAGGTAGATGGAAATGTGACTGCCATGTGATTGTGGAGGCATCTACATCCTTGGGAGCTGGAGAGGAAAAAGAGGCTCTCAACTGATTGCTCAGTGTTGGGGAGGCAAGGACCTCTTATTCCAGGGGTGAGAAGAGGCTGGAGGCTAAGGGAAAGCAGTCTGCAAGGATGGAGGAGGCCCAGGAGGTGTGATATCTTGGACACCGGGGATGGGCTGTAGCCTTGTTTTGACTCGCAGTTAGAGGAGAGAAGAAAAGAGGTATGCGCAAGTCCTGACAAAGAGAAGAAGCCCTCTAAGGACAACGACTGTGCCCCCGCCTCTTCCCAGAGTCCTCCCCACGACAGTCTGATAGGCTACCCAAAAACACTGTTCCAATGGCATTTGGGGGGCTGCCGGGCATTGGGTGAGTCCTTGGAACACAGATGCGGGCCCGCATAGTATGGGGGTTTGACTGAAGGGTGGTCCCTGAATCTTTGGATGTCTATGAAAATCAGTCAGAGCCTGTGCCTACCCCCTTGAGGACTCTTACCGGTTTCCATGCCTGGGCAGTGGCTCCAGGATGGGCACCAGCCCCCTCCACAGCTGCAAAGCCGCTAAATTTAGCCGGGCAGGGAAAGCTGTCCTGGGGCCGATTGCTTGGCAGCAGGGCCTTGTCTCCCTACAAGGCCCGACCCAGTACCCAAGCTGGCCACCCGGCCTTTGAGCTTATAAGGCAGGGCTGATGGATCTCAAGTACTGGAGTCTTTGGGTGGGACCTGGGCCAGGCCCTCAGACTTTGGGGAGCCTCTTTTCCAGCCACTGGCAGATATGGGAACTACTTATTCTGTGACTTTGGGCCAGGTACTCGACTTGCAGATCCTCAATTTCTGCATCTGTGTAATGGGGGTTCTAGTACCTACCTCACAAGACTATACTAAAGAAGAACCTGCTGAAATCTAGTATGTGGAACTCTGCCCTCTGCCTACTTGCACCCCCACAAGGCCTAGAATAAACAAGGTGTCTGTCCCTGGGGATACTTGAGTTGGAACGGAGGGCAAGAAAGATGGATTTTGAACCAAAGATACCATCAGCTGACTGGCTTACATTTGCAAGGCCATTCGCAAGAAAAGAAATTTGGGTCTTTGGTCATTTGTGCCAGTTTGTTTTCTGAATGCCAATGCCCAGGCTGTAACAGAAGCATGTGTGTATGCTCCAAGAAGTCTGTCTGTCCATTTTTCCTAGTTCCTTGGAAGACGAGAGGGAGAAAGAAAGTTAGAAGGAAGAGGAAGAAGGCGAGGTGGGGAAGTGGAAGAGATGGTGGTGATGTGAGAGGGACAGACAGATTATAGACGATGATTACCTTCTTTTTCTCATTCCCTATTTCCTTCGCTTTCTTCCTTCCTTCTCTCTCCTTTCCTGCCTTCCACATTTAGAGCCTGTTCTTCTTTAGAACGTGGTGTGAGTGTCGAGGAGAAGGTTTATTGCATAGGGTTGTGGAGATGGCTCAGTCTCAGCACGCATGGCTCCCATGACAAGCAGCCCATGTCATGGGGACTTCTATTCCAACAGCCATGAGGTCAGCTGGAAGAGGGACAGGCCCTTTTTTGGGTCAAGACCAGGCCAAGGAAGTGCCACACACCATAGTTCTGGTTTCAAGTAATTCTGGTCTTTTCCTTAGAAGAATGTGGGACATGGTTCTCACAAACACCCTTGACGGTGGCCTGAGAGATCCTCACTGGATTGGCAGTAACTCCACAGAAGAGGGAGTAAGGCTGACCAACTGGAGAGGGAAGGATGTGCATGCTGGAGTGGTTGTGGGTCTGCCCTCCTCAAGTGGCCCCTTGCTATCCAAAATGTAGTTCTGCTCACAGGCAGCTTGGGACCTAGGGGATTCCCAACCCCAGGACTTGGCCTCCTTCCCAGAGCAATTTCCCAGCTAAGACTTCCTAGGAAGAAGACTCTTATCAGCCTTCAGGATGCAGCAGTTTGGACTGGGGTGCAGGGAGATAGGACTTGCAGGAAGGCCCTTGCTTCAAGCTGGAACCTCCAGTGCTGGAACAGTGAGTTTTGACCCCCCATTTCTCCTCTTTGGGTTTGTGTGTGTGTGTGTGTGTGTGACTTTCTTGGGATTTGAACTCAGGGTTTGCACTTGCAAGGAGGCACTCTACCACTTGTGCCTCCAGCTCCATTTCTCCTCTCTGAGCTTCATCTGCAAAATGAGGAGTGGAGTGAGGAGGCTTCCAGCTCTACTGCTCAGGACACCCATATTCAGGGCTTGGATCACCATAGAGGAGGGCAGGGGATACACAGGGGGGTTACCCTGAACTCAACAGTGGCCTCAAGTCCTCTGTTTTCAGTGTTGTCAGAACCCATAGCCCAGGGGCCTCCACCTATGTGAAAATGCCTTTACTGTCCTTGACAGATGAGGAAGCAGACTTGCCAAGCACAGCCCCAAGTCCTAATGGGCAGAGTCAGGGATGTCTGATGTCAGACTTTTCCAACTGGGTCCTGGGCCCCATGGCAATGTGTGACCTATGTGGCACTTGCCTTATCTGGGCATCTGTCCCCCTTTGGTGGAGACAGGGAGATGTGGCTAGGGCCAAACAGAAGGAAAGTGAGGAAGGGGAGGGGATGGAGACACCAGTCTGTTGCTGAAGTTGATGGGCACAGGTCAGGTTTGAAGGGACAGGTAGACAGAAGGGAATATACAAGGGCAGTGCCAGGCAGCAGGACCTGAAGTGGCCTTTCTCCCTCTTATGCCCTACTCCCTGGAGGTCCCCAGGGACTGAGAGGCTACCCTGGGAGTACAGGGGACCGGTGGAAGTGTGGTGGGGGGATGAGAATGGGTCCCTAGCTTTGAGGAAATTCTAGGCTGAGGCTACCCCAGCTTCCCCCCAGGCTCTGTCCAGATACCCCAGCTCTGTCTTGCCAAGTTCATGGGGGATGGGGAGTAGCTGGTAACTTTATCTTGGCCTGTGTGGCCAGTGGTTGGTGGTTTCCGGCCAAAGGCCAACAGTCATTGTTTCCGGAAGCTCAGCAGGTCCCAGGCGGAGCCTAGAGGGGCAGCAGGGCTGGGGCTGGGTGGCCCTGCCAGACTGCCTCTGTCTATCTTTGGGAATTTATTCCTCACAAGCACGGCCAGCCCGCAGTCCATTGCCTGCCAGGAGCCAAGAGCTGCTCTGGTCACCTAACGATTCTCCCTCCCAACCCAAGCACCTCCAACTGACCACTGACTCCTGACCTCTGGCCCAACCTGATCCACCCTTCTCTTCCTGAGGAGTTAAGAAGCCCCCAGAAACCCCGCTGCTGTAGACTTGGGTGCCTGCTGACAGCAAAGGTCTTGCAGGGCTCAGTCCTGAGCCCCAGCCTGGCCTGCCATGGCACGGCGGCTGCAGGATGAGCTGGCGGCCTTCTTCTTTGAGTATGACACTCCCCGAATGGTGCTTGTGCGCAACAAGAAGGTGGGCGTCATCTTCCGGCTGATCCAGCTGGTGGTTCTGATCTATGTTGTTGGGTGAGTCTGGGCCCCTTCCCTGCCATCCTCATGCACCAGCCCCCAACCTGGGCCTGTCCTCTGAGCTCCGGGATGCCTGATGTGATGACAAGGATCCCCTCTCTCTCTCCATGTACTGGGAGGCCCTGACCAGCCCTGTGCTATTTGGGAGGAATGGAGAACCCTGTTAATCCACTGTCTAAATGGACACACTGAGGCAGGAGGGATCACCTGCTCCAGATGCATGGTGAACAGAGGCAATGCCACTGTGGGGTCCTGAGGAATGGACTCAGTGTTAATGGTTCCCTCAAGTTATGAGTAATGCGGCCTAAGGCCCTTTTACCTCTGATCTCCCACAAACCTGCACTGCTGAACCAGGGGCCATAGTCCACGAACAGGCCAGATAACAGGCTCTGCAGGTACCCCAGGTACATCCTGGGGTATCCAGGATCCTGGGAGCTGAGAAACCCTCAGATACTGAATACCTGGTGCCTGGAGGGAGGCATGAAGATGGAGGTCAGCTGTTCCTAGGGATGGCGATTCCTTTCTGGGCAGCTCTGGACTGATCCCACTGTGCCAGGCATGAAGGTCAGAAGAGGGTGGTCATCTTGCCTGCCTGGGGCCATGCAGAGGCCATTTACTTGAAATCCTGTTTGGCTGTCCCAGAGGCTAGGACAGACCTGGCAGAAGCTTGCACGTGTGTATGTGTGAGCATATGTGCATGTGTCATGTGGATGCATGTATCCTGTCCAGAGTTTCTGGGCCCATGCAAATGCCCCATGTGTCTGGGTGTGTGCCCAGCAGGTGTTGCTGCAGGATGAGTCCCAGGGGCTTGGGTGACCACATGTATATTATATATGGCTGTGTCTGCATCTGCCCTCTAGCTGAGGTGGCTGGGTACTTGATGTGTGTCATCTGTGATAAAGAGGGCTCCTAGTGCCTCTAGGGTCACTGAAGGAGGTTTAGCCCAGCAGGGACACCTGGCAGCTCTGGCTGTCTTTTGCTGTGTGATTCTAAGGGTTCTGCTCCCCTGGTCTCAACACTCCCATTTTGGCTGTGATTCTAAACTAGGACTGCTGAATGAAGCTCAGGCCGGGCTGACTAGGGTCCCAAGACATAGTCCTGGTGTCCCCAGAACACCTGGCATCCCATCCCAAACAGCCTTTCCTCTGCCCAACTCATCCCTCTAAGCCTCAGAGCTGGTCAGCTGGAGCTGGGGTCAGGACCCCTCTGCTGCTTTTTGGTCTCTGCCTCTGTCTTGTTCACAAACCAATTTGTCATCTGCAATGTTGGCTGAATTTACAAGGTAAACTGAAGCCCAGAGAAGAGCAATGGTGTTTCCAGGTTACACAGTGAGTAAGCACCAAATCCAGGCTTAGAACTGAGACCTCCTGACCCCTGAAGTCTCTGCTCTGCTTTTTTTCCTCTCATCACAAAGGTTCTGGAGACATTCTAAAGGGCAGTGATGGTGGCATGCCAAGCACAGATGGACCTAAGAAGTCTACCATTAGCTTCACTCTGGACCCTCCAGAGAAGAGAGGTAGCCCAGAGAGGCTGGCACAAAGTCTCCCTGTGCTGTTTTCAAATCAATAGCTGTGAGCAGCACCAGGGTCCTCTTGTGTGTTGGTTACAGACTGTCAGAGTGGAAGGGACAACTCCCCTCCTCCTTGTAGGGAATGCACAGATCTCCTGTGATGGGGACCTTACCATCTCTCTCCTTCCCGCTTCCTTCTCAAGACAGTCTACTTGGTTTCCAAATGGATGCAGCCCTTATCAGTGTGTGTTTGGAAAAAGGATCAGAAGCCCAGGGCTGTAGCTGATTTCACTGTTAGAAGAAGCTAACCACCTTCCTGGCTCCAAAGTCAGCCTTAAGATCCTGAAAAGGAAGTGTCTTCAGCGAGAGCCACTGAAACAGCCAAGTTACACTGCAGAGCTGAAAGTCAGGGTCTCTTGTCCCTCATTCTGTCTCCATCTCCAAGCTTCAGCACCATTCCTGAAGCTCTCCTGCTGTCTCTGTCGCCCTCATCTGGCTACTGCCCAGTGCTGAGCAGACCCTGGCAGCTAGGAGCCCCCAGCTGCAGATTGATCCCCTAGGCAACAGGGACTAAGCATCTCAGGTCTCAATTTTCCTGCTGTTACATGAGGCAGGGACTGAAGGGGACAATTTGCTTTTTCATGTGGATAACTGGGCTTTTCTCTGGAGCCTCCCCTTTCCTAGGTGTCTGTCCAAATGCCTGGTTCTGTGGGCGTGAAAGAGCAGACAGGGAAACTTGAGAGATGTCACTGGGGCCCCAGAAAGGGCAAAGCCCAGCTGAGGGATGAATAGACACAGAGACAGCTGGACGAAGGGACCAGATTTGGAACACAGCTCATATGAGGAGACCTTGAGACTTAGGAAAGGAGAGAGAGAGAGAGAGAGAGAGCGACAGAGAGACAGAGAGAGACTGAGATCCTAAGAACTAGAACAGGTTCCGAGGAGGGAAACTGACTGAAGCTATGGTCTCTATTAGTCATGCTCTTCCAGGAAGTCCAAGACAAGTGGAGAGAATAAGAAGCTCTGAGGCTTAACCTCATTTAGCTCAGATTGAGCTGTTGTCACAGATAGTGCCATCTCCTGGGAGGTGATGAGCTTTCTGTCACTAAAGGCCTGTGGGCAATGGGTTATCATCCATGACCTAATAGGCCCATGCTAGGGCTGTGCTGGGATGTGTTTCTGCCTGGGGGACCCTGGTTGGGGGAGGAGAAGGACGGTCTGAGCACACAGGAGGGTTCCCAAAAGGATATGTGAGTGCTGCTTGGGGACTGAGAAGCCTTCCTGGAGGCTGTGGTAGAACTAGCCATGGCAAAATTCTGTGACCCATAGGCTATGCAGGTCTGCTCTTGGCTTTTCTCTCACACTAATCCTCACTCATCCCCCACACCCCTACACAGAGCTCTTGAAATCAATGCTCTGAGATCACTAAATGGATCCTGGAGTGTATCAGTCCAGGATAAGGACAGACACAAATTATTGCTGGGAGAAATATACCCAGGGGTCATGTGCAGCATCCTCTCCATGCTGAACGCTGGGCCAGGGGACCAAGGCAGGACACAGATGGGCAGAGGGAGAGGGAGGAATTAGGGATGAATTGGCCAGAGGTCCTTTGGTTTCAGTGACAGAGGCCCAATCAAACTGGATTTACTGTATAAAAAAAATTTTTGGTGGTATTGGGCTTTGAACTCAGGACCTTGCACTTGCTAGGCAAGCACTCTACCACTTAAGACAAGTACCCAGCCCCTCAAACTAGATTTAAAAGTAAGGGTGAGCCTGAATTCAAACCCCAATACTGTCCCAAAAAAGGGAAAGGGGGGTATTCATTGTTTTCTACAGCTGAAAAATCAGGATGAGCTTCAGGCCTGGCTAGATCCTCCATGGCCAGAGAGAAGAGGCAAATTCTACGGTGAGAAAGCAATTTTGATCCAGTGTGGATTTGCAAATGAAGCTATCCAGAATCAGTCTTCTCCTCTTGGCTCTGCTTTGCTCTTTGGAGGAGATACATCATTCTTAGGCAGAGTCTCTGTCCTCATAGTGGCAAAATAGTCATGAGCAGCTCCAGGCTGTTATACCACCAGTTTTGCCACCTCTGAGGCATAAGAGCATCTCCTTCTTCCTTCCTCCAGAATTCCAGCAAAACTCCCACATCCAACTCTCTCTCTCTCTCTCTCTTTTTTTTTTTTTTATTTGGTAGGATTGGGGTTTGAACTCAGGGCTTTGCATTTGCAAAGAGGGTGCTCTAACAGGTGTGAGACCCTGAGTTCAAACTCCAGAATGCCTCCTCCAAATTAAACAAAAAAGCACCACAATTCTGAGTTGGATGTGGGTAGCTCATGCTGGAGACTAAGATCTGGAGGACTGCAGTTCCAGGCGAGCCCAGGCAAAAAAGTTTTGAAACCTCCATCTCAATGGAAAAAAAGCTGGATATAGTGGTACATACCTGTCATCCAGCTATGGAAGGAAGCATAAAATAGGAGAATCACAGTCTAAGTCAACCTGGACAAAAAATGAGACCCTAACTCCAAAAATAACCAGAACAAAAAGAGCTGGTAGAGTGGCTCAAGCAGTAGAAGGCCTGCCTAGCAAGTGCAAAGTCCTGAGTTCAAACCCCAGTACCTCCAAAAACCAAATAAACAAACAAACAAAAAGCCCCACAATGCTGGGTTGAAGTTGTGGCAAGCTCTTGTAGTCCCATCTGAGGAGGATGATGGAACCTGGGCTACATAGTAAGCCCTTGTCTAAAGAGAAAAGAAAGAAAGAAGGAAGGAAGGAAGGAAGGAAGGAAGGAAGGAAGGAAGGAAGGAAGGAAGGAAGGAAAAGAAAAGAGGCAGGGCTATTACCTAAAGCTGGACCACACCATGTGTCTTCTTTATTTTGCCTTTGGAGAAGAGAGGCCAGGAGACTATACTAGAAATGTGGCTCAATGGTACAGTGCTTGCCTTGCAGGGGGCCCTGAGTTTTATACCCAGAACTACTACCAAAAAAAAAAAAAAAAAAAAAAAGCACAGACCTGGAAAAAAATAAAAAAGAAGGACTGGGAAAGATTTTTTTTCTGAAAGGAAGTGGGGAGGGGCTTCTGAAGATGCCAGTGTCTGTGACCTCAGTCCTAGGGTGGTGAGCCCAAGGCATGGCTTTGCAGGGGCAGAACTGGCTCCATGGTCTTCCTATTATTACCAGGACTGAGGTCATTAGTGCCAGATTTTACTTCCTTCCCTGCCCAAGACCAGTATCCCTAGGTGCAGACAAAACCCAGAAACATTGCATTGGACCCAAAGCCCAGCCCAAGGTAGGGGCGGGGGTCTCTTGGCAATAAGGAGACACTTGAGTGCCAGTGCTGCTCAATGGATATGGCTAGAGTCCTGGGTGGGTGCCTCCAGCCCAGAGTCTGCCCCCTGCTTGACCTCTGACTTTTGGGAGGGGAACTCCCTCAGGTCTCAGTTTTCCCTTCTATGGTACGATGTGTTGATACAGGGCAAAAGCAGAAATCCTGCCTCAATTTTGGGATCGGGATAACAAGAGGGAGGTTAGTGACTTCTGCAAGAGCATTCAGAACACCAGCAGCTATCTTTGCCCTGAAGCACCTGCTTCAAGCTTGGGTACAGAGCAGAGACCTGCCTGCCTTCCTGCCTGCTTGCCTGTGGGAAGGATGCAGAGCATAAGCCTGACTACTGGAAGGGACCAGGGATAGGGGTGGTTCATGCTTTCGTCCTGATAGGGCTGCAGACAGCTTGGCAACTCAGGACAGAGAATTGGGGCCTTTGTCATGCCTGGCCTGTTGCAGTCTGAGACCTGATGGGGGCAGCAATGACCATGCAAAATCTTGGGGGCAGGGAGCTTGGTTAGAACGAGAGAGGGGATGGAGAAAAGGGTGGATTATGGGAGGCTAGAAGAGGTCATTGGTGGGCTATCTCCTGGGAACCCCTAGATAGATTGCAGTGACTCAGACTCACAGCCTGTACACTGGGGCTGAGGAGGAGAGTAGATGGCTTTGAGCTCTGCTTGGCCAGGTAAGCCTGGGCTAGGATAAGGATAAGGGATGGAGGGATCATAGTACATCTACCTACAGGTAGACACACACAGGTTTTCCCTGGAGGTCTACAGCTACACACTCCAATGAGCACCACACACACACACACACACACACACACACACACACCTGTGTCCATGTGAAGTCTTCTGAAGGAAGAGCCCTACCCCCCTGGAAATAAATATTATTGAGAACTCTTTCAACTGTAAGCAACAGAAGCCAAACCCAAACTGGTATGCATAAAGGAAGGGAATCTATTGGTTTATGTAACTTAAAAATCCAGAAGTAGATTTTTCAATATGCCTTTGGCCTGGCTGGATCCAGCTACCCCAACAACATTGTCAGGAGTCTGCCTCTCTCCATGTCCTGATTTGGACTTCCTCAAGGTTGGCTTCATTCTCAGGTTTGCTGCCTGTTTGAGGTGGCAAAGATACCTAACCAAAATTTTGGTCTCGTAGCTATCCTACTTAGCCACCCATCAGAGAGGATGTTTCTTTCCTAGTAATTCCCAGCAGATACTCCCTTGGTCATGTGCCCACCCTTGGAGCTGGGTGGAGAGCAGCTCCACTGAACCTCCCCAGACTAAAAGTGATAGATCCAAAGGAACAGGATTTCTCAGCACTGGGAATGAAAGGCCAGAACTGCCATAAGGGCTAGGAGTCCCAAAGGGGGTAGGTCAGAGGTTGGAGATTAGAAGCTTCCTAAAGAGTCACTCCCCCACCCAGTTTCCCTTCACATTCCCCTTCCTGGGGGCCCCCAGCACGGCTGAGATAATAATGCTAGCTAATATCTATACAGTTTTTCCATCCTTAAGTGTTTCTCATGCATTAACTCATTTAACACAAACAACTACTGCTATTATTCCTGTTTTATAGATGAGGAAGGTAAGATATAGAGGGACTGACTAGCTTACCCCAAATTACATAAGCAAATTTGGATTCAAATCCAGGCTGTTAGGCACAAATGTACATGTTCTGTTGTTTCTTTGGGGAAGGAGCTCAGAAAGGAAGGCAGGAAAGAAGGAAGGAAAAAAGGAAGGAAGAAGCACTTTTAGAAAAAGATTGGTGTCCAAGAGGCTAACTTGCAGGACTCAGAAACTCTGCTCTTGGTAAAGGATCTGGAAGGACATTCAGTAGGTCTGTCTCCTCCCTGTTCTCATAGTGTAACGACAGAATTTCAGGTACAGAGCAGCAGGAGGAAGAAGGCAAGGCTGTCCTGCCTCTAGCCCACAACTGGGGGTGGGGACTTCAAAAGCAGAGAGGACTCAGAGAAGCATCAGGGGAAGACAGAGGAAGGCCATACATGTCCAGCAGTTACTAGAAAGGGCAGAGGCCCACACAGCCACCTGCCGTCCTTGAATGGCCTGCCCACTCTGGCACAGACCCATAACTCCTCACAGGTGGGTGTTTGTCTACGAGAAGGGCTACCAGACTTCAAGTGGCCTCATCAGCAGTGTGTCTGTGAAGCTTAAGGGCCTGGCTGTGACTCAACTCCAAGGCCTAGGACCCCAGGTCTGGGATGTGGCTGACTACGTCTTCCCAGCACAGGTGAGCTGACTCAAGGCCCCCAGGCCCTGGCTCTGGGTTGGGTGGGCTTTGTTCCACCTCCTTGTTGGACCAGTCCAGCTCCTCACTCTCTGAATATCACTCTCCCTAACTGTGAACCTGGTGCTATTATCCGCTGTACTATTATGGGATATGGAGGCTGCTGGGTGTAGGTGGGCTCCTAGGGCCTGCCAGGCAGTATCTGGGTTTTCTGTGCTATTGTCCCAGCCCTGCTCCATCTTCGTCCTGCCCTTCACTTTCAGGGGGACAGCTCCTTTGTGGTCATGACTAACTTCATCATGACCCCTCAGCAGGCTCAAGGCTACTGTGCAGAGGTGAGGATTCTGCCCCTCCCTAGGCCCACAGGGGAAACAACAGTGAAGAGGAGCCCCCTCGGGCATGGCAGGTGAAGGGGCTCCTGCAGGGACCCATGATGGAGTGTCAGGCAGAGTTACACAAAGTGATCCTCAGCCACTGGCAGTGCTGAGCAAGGCAGGATGCCAAGTCTTAGTGCCTCCTCTTTCCACCTCCCCTGTCCCCTTACCACCTGACACTGCAATAGGCACCTGGGTGTGAACCTATAGCTGTGGAGACTGGGGGTAAGAAGACTGTGAGCAGGGCTTACCTCACAGAGTCGAAGACTGCCTGCATGCCTTCCCTGGGCCCCAAGAGCAAGAGGGGCCTGTGACAGCAACTCTCCCCTCCCCCAGAATCCAGAAGGGGGCACATGTAAGGATGACAGCGGCTGCACCCCTGGGAAGGCAGAAAGGAAAGCCCAAGGTAAGGCCAGCTCCTCCTGGTGCCTCCAGGGTATCTCTCAGAGTCAGGCTCTGGTGCCCTCCAGGCCACCTTGTGCCTACATCTCTCCATACTCATTGCACTAAATATTCCTTCTCTTCCCCCTGCCATTCCAGCTTGGCTGCCCTGCCTAGACTCTGCTGTATTCTGTCCTAAGCTTCTCTTTTGTGCCCCATCATTGGGAACTCCTGGGGGAGGTGTCTGGGAGGCCTCTGGACCCCCAGCTTGCAGTGGGCACCCAGGAGCTCCTCTCTTGCTCCAGGCATCCGCACAGGCAAGTGTGTGCCCTTCAATGACACCGTGCAGACGTGTGAGATCTTTGGTTGGTGCCCTGTGGAGGTGGATGACAAGGTCCCGCGGTAACTAATGCCAGGTCCTTCCAGAGGGGCAGGGTCATCCGGATGTTCCCCCTTCCTCTGATCCTTTCCTTACCGCAACAATGTGGCCCAGGCCAAAGAGTCCCCCCGGTTCAAGGGTTTGTGAGGCCATCACTGTCACACAGTTGCAGGAGGACCATGTGCTCTCCCGTGTTAATTTCACACTGCAGAGCACACAGGGGTACTCCTGGGGAGGGTCGGTGAGTGAGTGCGGTCTCCCCCAGCCCTGCCCTTCTCCGAGAGGCCGAGAACTTCACCCTCTTCATCAAGAACAGCATCAGCTTCCCCCGCTTCAAGGTCAACAGGTTTGTGGGAAACACCAGCACAAATGTAGGTGGCTCCTGGTTGCTTGAGCTGATCTCAGCTCTTGCTCTCTCCCTCCATTCCTGCTGCTCCTGCTTTGAAGGCAGAAGCCTGGGCTGCATCCCTGGAATGGGCTACTGAAAGGGCTTTCTGGATCCTGGGAGGGTCCCCAGTGCTTTGAGGCATAGTGGGCACCCTCACAGCTGGCACATAGCTGTAACCAACACCCTCTGCCCCTACAGGCGCAACCTGGTGGAGGAGGTGAATGCCACCTACATGAAGAACTGTCTGTATCACAAGACCCTGCACCCTCTGTGCCCTGTCTTCAGCCTCGGCTACCTGGTGCAGGAGTCAGGCCAGGATTTCTGCAGCCTGGCTGAAAAGGTCTGGGGGTGGTGTCAGGCAGGGGGAGCACTGGCCCAGGATCCCAAGAAAGGCTCATCAGGTCCAGTTCATCCTCCTGAGCCTCCCTAGTGTGGAGTATATGCATAGGCCTGTCCCCTGATCTTGGGGCCCTAAGGACTAGGCCTGCATCTTCAACAGGGCCTGGGCTGGACATGGCACAGAAGAGGTGACCAGAATGAGTGGATGTGAGCAGACATTGTCACCTGGATGTTTGCTGATGTCCTGCTATTTTGATTGATTGACTGATTGAGTGTTGCTGGGGATGCAACCATGGCCTCACACAGGCTCAGCAGGTGCTCTACCTCTTGAGCTATACTCCCAGCCCCAAATCGTTGGGCTACTTTTCTTTTTTCTTTTTCTTCTTTGCCAAGCTGGGGATGCTAGGCAAGTGCTGAGCCTCACCCTCAGCCCCAGTGTCCTGCCATTCTGCCCTCCCCAACTTGTCCCTTGATTGGCAGGTGGCCTAGTTATGTGTGAGCATGAGCTCTGGTGCTACAGCTGGACACCCCCACCCCTCACCCCATCACCTCCAAGCCACACACAGGCACAATGGAGGCTCAAAGGCAGCATGTAATGTCTTGCCATTTAAAAAATATTAGATATTAGATAAAAGTAGTTGAAACTCATAGTCCATGGCCCTAGGAATCCTGTGCCCCAAGATCCTCACAGCTGACTGCAGACCTTGTAGACCAAGTTCAAACCCCTGCTCTGCCCCTTCTCAAGCAGTGTGACCTCAGAGTTTTCAGAGCAACTTGAGTGTGTCACTGAGGACAATATCAGTGCCAGTCTCCTGGGGGCGTTTTGAGGATCAGATGAGTGCTTGCCTGTGACGTCACTTCAGCGCTGCAGGGGGCAGTCCAGTGTCCTGTTCCCACACAGCCCTTGTGTGCTTGCTCCTGCAGTTGCCTATTCAAGGGTGGACATCAGTCCCTTTTCTGCAATGTTACTAACAAACCCCACTCATGACATGCTTTTCTACAGCAGATGCTGGCAAATCTTTTCTTTCAAGAGCCAATAGTGAATACCTTGACCTTTTCAGGCTTTAGGATCTTTGTGCCAGCTACCCAGGTCAGCTGTTGGAGGCAAAAGCATCTTCATACTGCCCTGAAGAGGGCTGTATTTCACAATGCACATGACCTAAACACAGAGTGTTAGACCTCCCTGTTCCAAAAACTCTGCCTGCTCCTGCCACCTTCTCTACCTAGCTCCTTGTTCTTAGCCTATTGCTCAGCCCACCCAGCTGTCCCATTCTCTGCCTCACCCAGGGCAGTTCTTTCTATAATCTTCACAGATTCTAATTAAACAATGCTTTCCTCCCACGCCACAACTGTGCTAGGAATTCAGAGGTCAGTGACCAATGCTCAGACAGCTCCTGTCCCCCTGCATCTGACAGTCTTGGAGGAGATGGATTAATGACTAATCTCACAATTTAATCCCCAGTACCACAATAAAAATAATAAGCAAAATAAATAAATAGCCACACATCATAAACTGAGTGCCTATAATCCCAGCATTTGGGAGGCTGGGCAGGAGATTCCAGAGTTCCAGGCCAAACAGGACTACATAAAGAGTTCAAGGTTAGTCTGAACTACATATAGAGACCCTGGCTCAAACAAAACAAAACAAAACAAAACAAAAAAACCCAAATAAATAGCTGGTGCAGTGGCTCATGCCTTGTAATCCTGGCTACTCAGGTTCAAGTCTAGCCTGATCAAAAGATTCTTTCTTGAGATTCAGTCTCAACCAAGAGAAAGCTGGGTGTGGTGTTATGTTTCTGTCATCTCAGCTATGTGGGAAGCACACATAGGAGGATCTTGGTCTAGGATGGTTTGGACATAAATGCAGGACCCTATTTAAAAATAACTAAAGGAAAAAGGACTAGGGACATGGCTCAAGTGATAGAGCACCTGCCTAGCAAAGCACAAGGTCCTGAGTTCAAACCTCAGTACCACCCAAACAAATAAACATATGGTTACAAAGTGACAAATGTTCCAAAAGTAAACACAGAGTGAACAATAGGGAATAACAAAGCACAGATTTTAGGCTGGGGTGGTGGTCAAAGAAGCTCTTTCAGGAGAAATGACCAAAGGATGAGAAGAAGCTAGCCTTGTGGAGGAATATCATGTGCCAAGGCCCTGAGGTAGGAGGAACTTAATGTATTCTAGAAATGATCATAAAGCTGGAGTGTGGAATGTGATGGGTGCAAGGTGAGGCCAAAGAGGGAGACAGGCCCTCTACCCCAAAGCAGCATCTCAGTGTCTTTACTCAGACAAACAACAGCAAAAACAAATAAACAAACAAAAACAGTCCCTCTTTGAGAGTGCACCATCAGATGTAAGGCAGGAATTTATTGATCCTGTCTACTCCCAGATCTTGAGTACCCATGTCCCTGGCAGGGCGGGGTGGTCGGCATCACCATTGACTGGGACTGTGACCTGGACTGGCACGTGCGACACTGCAAACCCATCTACGAGTTCCATGGGCTGTATGGGGAGAAAAATCTGTCTCCAGGCTTCAATTTCAGGTGCCTCCCAGACCCCCACCCCTGCATCCATCCTTAGGGTCCTGTCACCTTTTCTATTCCCAGAACCCAATAGGGCTGAGCAAGTTTCCCCAGAGGGGACTAGTGGACCATGGACAGTTCCCATCCTGTGTGGGTGGCCAAGCAGGAAACCAAAAGGGACCCTTGTGGTCTGAGTTCCCCTGTCCCTGGTTCTCAATCACTTTAAGGCCCACCTGGCCAGAGACATCGCTGGCAGCCAGAGTCAGGGCAAGGGCTGAGTGGGAAACTTCTGGATGGAGGCATATTATTCTTGTGTAGTGTAGGGGATGGGGCTGCACTCATATGTCTCTAATGCTCTGCCACCTGAGGCAGCTTTCCATCACCCTCTCCTCTACCTCAACCTTCCCCAAGGTTTGCTAGGCATTTCATGCAGAATGGGACCAATCGCCGTCACCTCTTCAAGGTGTTCGGAATTCGCTTCGACATCCTGGTGAATGGCAAGGTGAGTGTCCAGGGTGAGGGGGTGGCAGGTGGGCTACACTCCTGTCTTTGGGTGTCTGTTGTTGTGGATGACAGGAGGGTGGATAGGATGGGTTTGTTGCTAATGATATGTGGGCTTGGGTGATGTCCCAGGGACAGGCTTTGCAGCCAGTGCCATATCTCTCCTGCTATCTCCCTGGGTCAGGGAGGTAGAGCAAAGTCAAAATCCAGGTGTACTGACCAGTAGCTGGTTTCCACAGAGTCAGAGCCATGGGCAGAAGGCAATGGGGACAATTCAGAGTCAAGGGAGAGGGTTTGGGATGGACCTATTCCAAGCCTGGCCTCTTGTAGCTGGGCCCCTCTGACTATTAATCCTGCTCTCTCTTGGGCCCTGCCACCAGGCTGGGAAGTTTGACATCATCCCCACAATGACCACCATTGGCTCTGGGATCGGCATCTTTGGGGTGGTAAGTGCTAGCAACGTGAGCCCATCATGCCAGGGTTGGCCCTTCTACATTCAGAAGTAGCAGCAAGCCCCTCACTCCAAAACTTGGCTATAACTGTTCACTGTTAATGGGCCAGAAGCTGCCCACCCATCACCTTAGACCCACCCTAGATCCGCATCTGGAGAAATCAAGGCTCAGATCTGGGATAGGAGAGAGGTGATATGGGGCTGTCTTGGTCACCTGAGGGTCTTGTTGTGCCTCATTCCCCCTCCAGGAAACTGAAGAATAGAGTCAAGGATTCCACCAGGGTCACAGTTAGTAGGGATAGCAGGGAGATGTACAAAGTTCTACACCCACCCCCAGATTCCTATGCTCCAGCTGCACCCCTCTCTATCCCCAGGCCACAGTTCTATGTGACCTGCTGCTGCTCCACATCCTGCCCAAGAGGCACTACTATAAGCAGAAGAAGTTCAAGTACGCAGAGGACATGAGGCCAGGGGAGGTGAGAGAACTCCTTCAAGGACCTCAGGCCTATGTATCTGTGTTTGGGTGCTGGTAGCTTTCCCAGGGCTGACTTGCAACCCCCACTGTGTACACAGGGTGAGCATGACCCTGCGGCCACCAGCTCCACCCTGGGCCTGCAGGAGAACATGAGGACATCCTGACCCTCAGCCCCTGGTCCTCACTGGATGCAGTGTGAGGCTTCAAGTTGGGGCTGGTGGGTACCAGCCAGGGCAGAGGGGTCTCCCCAAGGAGTCTCCTGCCCTGTCAGCCTGGAAGACCAGTTTACCCACACCTCAGAGTAGACAGTAGGCAAGACTGTGCAATTCAGGGCCCTGCCTCCAACTCCACATCCCAAGGGAGCTCCTTCCCAGTCCTGGCCACTCTAGGTTTGGAAGACCTGGGCTGAGCAGAGCTCCTCACATACCTGTACCCTAACTGTGTGCCATAGCCCAGGGCCCTCATTATTCATCCCACTGCCTCAATTTCCCTCGATCTGTGCTAACATGACAGCCACTAGCCATTTAAATTTAAATGGAATAAAAATTTAAAAATGTCTCAAATTAGCCACATTTCAATTGCTCAATAGACACATGTGGCCAGTGGCTGCCATATTGAACTGCAGAGGCCATTTTCATCATTGGAGAAAGTTTGGTGGGACAGGTCTGCTCAAGCCCTGTTTCTGATTGACTTCCCTGGGGAGCTTATCAACAATGCAGATGCCCGGGCTACACCATGCTTCCTGTGCCAGAAGCTGCAGGGCTGGCCTATGATTGGCACAGATGGACCTAGGTTTTAGTACTGCTGTCCTAGAACTTTCTGACTCTGAACTCCAGACTGGGTATCAGTCTTAGTCCTGGGCCAGCACCTCCTGGCACTTGCTGGCACTGAGTAGGGTCTCAAAGGCTCTTAGCAAGTGTGTAGTGCCATGTGAATACAGTGATTCATGCACCCTGTGCACACCCTCCTTGTGCACAGCTCCCCGCATGCACCCAGCCCTCCATCCACAGTGTGTATTTGGACATCTTTGGGTTCTGCAAGCACAACATCTGAACACATCTCCACCCCCAGGCAGACACACACTCCATGTCTTGTTACTTCCATGGGGAAAATGCTCTTCCCAGGTGTGTCAGACCAGGACAACCTTCTAGCCATGACTTCTTACTCAGCTACCTTGGGTGGGGACAGGAGCCTCAGCTGAATCCTGGACTCCTTGCCAGTGGCTCAGCCCCAGCTCCCAAGGTTTGTCCAAAAGCAAGATCTGGGTACAGTGAGGGGTGGAGTACAATAAAGGAAGTGAGGACACATTTCTGCCTTCTTTGCTTTCTGTCCAAATCTTAGAATTCAGCATGCTCATCTGTGAGATGCAGGGCCAAGCTGAGCCATGCTGAAGACCCCTGGACTGTCCAGTGGGCAGTGGTGAACTGACTCATGTATCCTGAACCAGGACGGGTGGTGCTGGGGGTTGGCTTGTGGAGGTCCACAGGCCACTGTCCTGGCACATCCCAAACACTGATGCTCTCTTTGATCCTACACATGCTCCTCCCACAGCTGTGAGAGGCCTGGCAGTGAGTCAAACAGAGAACCCCAGGAGTGGCCTCATGAACCAGGGAGGAAGGGACTGGCTGTCCTAGGAGTGGGATCTGCAGGAACCCCAGAGGGTCTTAGTTGGAGCCAGTGTGGAAGGGCTCCCCAGGCCCC